AGTAGTATACCCTTGATAATAATAGTAGTATACCCCTTATAATAATAGTAGTATACCCTTGATAATAATAGTAGTATACCCCTGATAATAATAGTAGTATACCCCTGATAATAATAGTAGTAAACCCCTGATAATAATAGTAGTATACCCCTGATAATAATAGTAGTATACCCCTGATAATAATAGTAGTATACCCCTGATAATAATAGTAGTATACCCCTGATAATAATAGTAGTATACCCCTGATAATAATAGTAGTATACCCCTGATAATAATAGTAGTATACCCCTGATAATAATAGTAGTATACCCCTGATAATAATAGTAGTATACCCCTGATAATAATAGTAGTATACCCCTGATAATAATAGTAGTATACCCCTGATAATAATAGTAGTATACCCCTGATAATAATAGTAGTATACCCTTGATAATAATAGTAGTATACCCTTGATAATAATAGTAGTATACCCCTGATAATAATAGTAGTATACCCTTGATAATAATAGTAGTGCTATTATCTGTCATCACTAAACCTAAACTCACTGGAACCTAGTTCATAGGTTTCATCTCCCTGTACCCTGTAGTTTATATCAAACTGTGCATAATCAGGTTTAGTGTAGTTTCGGAATGTTACTAAGGGGCCATCTACTTAGGACGTCCGGCAAATTCGAAGAGGGGGGGGTGGTTTTGGAATTTCGGACAAATCTGGACGGGGGGAGGGGGGTGGTTTCTAGAAATCCGGACGTCCGGAAATTTTGGCAGAATTAACGAAAAAGTCCCATTCATTTCAACTCTTTGAATTCTATTTCAACTCTTTGAATTTTATTAACAATGAATTTGAGTTGGTTTTATTTGTTGGTATTAGTAGCTGGAAATCCGGACGTCCGGCCGGGGAGGGGGGGGGGGCTGGTTTTGAAAATTCGGACACACCCGGACAGAGGGAGGGGGTGGTCTGAAAATCTGCGATTTTGGCGGACGTCCTAAGTAGATGGCCCCTAAGCTGGCAAAGTGATTAACACGTGACAGTTATCAACCAATCTGTTATAACGCACATGTTACTATTATAGTTACACTTACAATCTGCATCCACTGTTGACGATTAACCAATCATAACCCAGAATCACTGTCACGTGTCAAAGAAGTATGCTTCACTTCCCCACCAGAATACACATCTAAAGTTAGCTAACAGTATAAGCTAGATTAGTGCAGAAACATCTAGAAGTGAACTAGAAGCAGTTATAAGGCACTATGTTACCATAACTACTACTGAAATCCTAGAAGTACACTATTTTAGCATTCCACTACAAATATATTATTAAGCCTTTAAATTACTAAAATTGTAGGGCCCATCTGTTTGTTGTCGACGTTAGAATAGTTCGTGAGTCTAGCCATTATTGAGTGTGTCATGTGTTAAAATCGCAACACAATACCCCTGGATCAGCATGATACACACTATAGAGGAGGAAGAGCGGAGGGGAGGAGAGTAGAGGAGAGGTAACTTAATACGTAGCAACAAATATTCTAACTAATGAGCCATCAAGTGCATCCTTTCCCAGAGCCCTCGTTAGCTCGTTAATTGGTGACCATTCAAAATACCTCAAACACTCTTTTGTTGAGTTTGTGTAGGTTTTGTCACCCATGAACTACATACCTACACTTCAACTGAACTAAACGCTTTGTGAATGTGTAAGTTGCCTTGTGTTAGTTACAGTTTGATTCTTTATTACCGACGTTAGGAATTGTACAGAGTATTATATAGAATTATTATATCGAATGCTGAATATTCATGCTTGAGAACAGTGAAATTATTATCATTGATTAGATGCAGACACTTCTTTTAATATATCGTGGTAATTCTATAAAAATGATTGTGATATGAGTGTATAAACTATTTTAAGTTCTGTGGACTGTGATAGAGACATATCTAATATTTACTGTATTTTAATAAATTGTTCCTTCTCTTAGACATGTTCCTGTTTAGACATGCCTTAGTTTACCTAAATTAAGGACTGTAAAACCGATTTACTGATTTACCGCAAACCCCGATTTACCGCGGGTATTTCCTTCCCCCGGATTTTTCTTCAAAATATACTTTTAAAACGTTTCGAAAAATATGTTTTATTTACGACAATTTTGATTTTTTTTTTCGTCAGTTTGGTCAGAATGTTTCAACAATTTGATTTTTTGTACCAGAGTCGCCCAATTAAAGACATATCCGTCCATGTCTGATTATTTGTTTAAAATGTAGCGAACTGTTTATCATCCGATTTCAATGCAAAGTGTTCGGAAACTGAAGTGGAGGGAATCCGCTCTTTAGCATTGGAATCACTTAGAAGTTCACGTTTAGAGGAGGGTGATTATCCCTAAGATGTAGTGGGATTTATTGACGTGATCCCTAATAGTATTAGTACTGCAGAGGATGCAACCCATTACGCAAGCTCATTAGCTCGGTTCAATGTGTCCTTGTTCGCTCACGAGCTCGTTACTGCTTCTCGAATCACGTATTTTAAATTATATGTTCTCATAACAATACTTCGCTATGACAGGGTACCGAGAAGGATCGACCCGCACTACAGGAGCCATTATATGTGATCCGATCTGAATTTACTGATACAATTTTTAGAACGCATGATACTACTACTATGTTTGAGCTAAGTCCGATCTACGCCAGATAACCCCCTCCATGTATCCCTGTCCCGCATCAGGGTTCGCAGTTCCTCTTTAGAGTTTGTTCCAACTTCCTTCAGTAACATAGACAAGTAGCTTTGTCTTGGTCAGCCTTGCTGTGCTCTACCGTGCGTAGGTTCCCATAAGACTAAATCACTGGCATGATATTCTGCAGCAAGAATTTAGTTTAATTTCTAAAAGTTTATTATCATAAGATTACATTAGTACATACGTGCGATTATCAAAAATATCACGTCTATAGATTTGAGGCCTTATATCCACCCATTTTAGACCAATTTCGGACCCTAAGAACCTAAGCTTGTTCTTCAAATATCTGGTAACCTCGTTCCTTACCACGTTGTTCGGAGATCCGGGCCCGTCTGAAGTACTGCGTAGAAGTTGGTCCCAAGTCGCTGCAGCATCGATATCACTGTCCGCACTGATCCTTGTAATCTTTATTTGTCGGAAGCCCACCTCTCTCTTAGACTTGGAGATCAGGAACTCTTTTGCGGCTCGAGATTTCTCTCTACAAGTAAAAACAGTTGCCTTGTAGGTAAAGAGTCGCTCTGATAAACCACAATGCGACGGCTACTCGGACTCTTAATAGATACGGATAACCAAATACCAGTAGTATGTTTTACGCTAAAATCAAATGTAGAATATTCTAGAAATCCAATACACTGATCAACCAACTTGCTGACATAGCATATTGTTTAAATACTGCACCTAACGCCATTATACATTATAAGATCAAAGAATATTGAAAGTACAATTTTTGTTAGCTACGATCCCGGTCCCAATGCCGGCTTAATCCCGGTCCCGGTCGTATTCCCGGTCCCAGTCTTTTTCCCGGTCCCGGCCGATCCTTAACTGTACTTAGTTTAGTATTATATAATATGTATTACATACTACCACTGTCCGGACATTACATACTACTACTGTCCGGATATTACATACTATTACTACTACTGTCCGGATATTACATACTACTACTGTCCGGATATTACATACTACTAACAGTCGTCTGACAGAGAAAACAAAACCATTAATTTCACACTGCTTTAAAGAGCATAAACCTGTAACACCGGTACAGATAGTAGTAGTTTACAGTGCGTCCTACCAGGTGTTTAAAACCCCACAAGTAGTGACTCCTCACAAGTAGCACACAATGAGCTTGTAGCTTGTGTAATGTTCATACTTGCTGCGCTCCACGTAGGTCACCAGGCTGTTCAGGTGGCTGTTTGTCCAGACCGATATTTTGTAAATAAATTACCGATTATTTTAATTTACGAAAGAAACATCGTCATATTGCTGCATGTCCCACTCATTGAATAGAACAGTTGTGCTTTGTTTCGAAACATACTTAAGCTGATACAATGTCAGTCACTATGTTATAATCAGTACATACTACATGTGTATTTGTGTATGGTAGTATACTAAACACCCGATTTACCGCGGACCCTTTCTCCAAACTCCGCGGTAAATCGGGGGTTTTACGGGTTTACTGTAGTCTACTTTAATATACATTCACCCCGTATTGTTTAATCAGTTCGTTCTTTAGTTTACACATCAACAGTTTGAAGCAGTTACAAAAGACTACTGAGGAGGTGTCTTCACTGTCTCTGCTAAGAGAGTGTACTATCTATCCGTGACATGCTCTGTGAAGATCTTCTGATTTGTCACACTGGTGGTAAGTACTATGTCGTGTCAGGAACGCGCGGGTTTTATCACCAGATAGCGTCCAAGCGTAATCTTTTTATCTTCAACTATGTCATAAACCCCCATATCGGTCCCACATGAATATGATTGTTTGAACCTACATAGTGAGTGTTCTCGTACATTTCAGCCTTCCGAATGTGTTAGTTGTACGAGCTGTATGATTACTTGTATAATTACCTGTATTTCACAGTTTTACAGTGTGTATTGTCTGATTGACCGTGCTTGGCTATCTCATGTGTATAATTAGCTAACTATGTAGAGGTGGGCCTATAATTCTTTATTTTATTCGCTTTTGTTTGGCTTCTTTGAGCTTAATACCTGTTACTGAAATATCACTGTAATATCTGCTAAACTAACTGCCGCTAAACTAGACTTGTAAATCTACTTTGTATCAGTCTGTTGGTCAGGCTTGCAATTTATATGGACAACATCGCAACATCTTGTGTTTACAACTTTAACTATCAAACATTCTTTTGCCATGTTAACAGCGACAATTCAATTAATTTAAGAATCATGCCTGACTAATTAACCAATTAACAACCACTAATTAACCAATTAGCAACCACTAATTAACCAATTAGCAACCACTAATTAACCACCACATGTAGTGGGATGTCGATGTGACCCTGGCTTGGAACATCATGTCGACGGCAGATAAACTGCAGCAACTCCGACTGGAGCGCCAGAAGTCGGACCTCTCCCACAAGTTGCAGGTAAATATCAACCCTTCTCCTTGTCTCCTTCCCACCCCCGTCCCCCATCGCTTAACCTCTTTACCTCTTCGACCTCTTTCCTCAAAACATTATTTCCAAAGGAGCGCTAAAATACATGATACTTGGAAGGTTCTGTTTATACTTTATGTTGTATGATTGAGTTGGAATTTGCAAACTATTTACTAATTTTAAGTGGAACGAACCAACCCTAATACCTGTAATAACGAAGGGAGCCCTGTCAACGCCTCCCCCTACTTGGGTAATACCAAGTATTAGCACCTGGTTAATATATAGGAGACTGCTAGTTATCACTTTGTAGAATCCCACTTAATTGTATGCCTTCTTATGCAAACTTAACGATCTACAATCCATTCTTTTTATCTTTTTATCACATATAACGAAAGTCCTTTATTGGTTAGTCCTAACTAGTACTCCTGTCTGATGGTAAGTCAAAGTGTTGAAACTTAGCATTTTTACAAGATCAAAGGTTTACACTGTGTTTAAAAGGTGATGCACAAGTCTGAGATATTCAAACTGTAAAGACCGTCCAAAAGTTCGGCAACAGAAGTTATAGAAGATCACTCTATAGGTAAAACCCTCCCCCGTCACTCTTTCCACCCTCCCCCAGGCGCTGCAGTCCCAACTGGAGAGAGCTGAGAACGAGAAGAGTACAATGGCGGAGGAAAGTGGTCACAAGATAAAACAGGCTTTATCACTCCTGGACACTGCAAGGAAGGTAACTTAGTTACTGAGTTACTTACTCATAATACTATGTAGTCATTATAGTTCATTTAACAAACAAGCGGTATATTCAAATGAATGAATGAAGTCTTTACGTATTGTTTTTTTTTTCATGATTTAATCTTTGCAACACCATCGTTTCGGTGCATTTTTCCCCCGCGGTTTACGTTTTTTAACAAATTTTCATGTTTGATGTTCAACTTCAATCGCATATTATTTAAAATAGCTGCATGGAGGGTTTCCAGACGGTGATAAATACCAGACACAACGTGCACACGTACATCCTACTAGCCTGTCAAATTAGTAAGGCTACCTCTAGGTTCTAAATAAAATTAAGCCTTCTTTACTTTCTACTTAAGTTACTGACAGCTTAAACATATTTCGTTGAGCTATTTGACTAATCTGCTATTTCTAAACTGTGAACGTCCAACCAAAAAAATAACGAATAGTTGTAATGTGCAAGCGAGAAGCAATTAGGTATTGAAAAACTAAAGACAAGGTCTAATTAGGATAGCCAAAAAGTCTGAAAATGTAGACCAAAAATACAAGCTTAATCGATTTTTACCGATTCCACTTTTAGAAGAATAAATAAGAATAATAGAAAACAAATTTGTTCATGTTCGATTATCGGATGACCGCTGAAAAGCCGTTATTTCTTCTCGCAAATTAGGATACACGCCAATAAAATCCGCAATAAGCTGTCACGCGCCATACCTAGGTCACGTGGTATATCTAGGTCACGTGGTATATCTAGGTCACACCAACACAAACTATCAAGATCATTACTCGAATCTTAAACAGCAAATTAGCAAAGAATAGACAACACAAACAACTGCAATCACATGGCTCTGTAGTTTAACACGGACTACAGGCTGTAGTACAACCCGTTATAAAACCCTGCTTTCCGCAGGAGATCGACAAACTGAAAAGAGAGAAAGAGTCGCTGACATCTGAAGTGACAGATCTGCGGAGACAGAACGTGGAGCTCAGGACTTCCTCGACACCTTCCTCAGTTCCAGAGAGCAGGAAGGACGTCAAGACCACCTCGGATGACGTGGACGGTCTCAACACCCTCCAGGAGAACACTCCTAATGCGTTGTCATGGGGATGCGCTGAGTCTCCTAACGGGTTCTCTGACGACCACGGTAGATCCTTTTTTTCCTCTAACACATGACATACTCTCACTCCACTCTGACACTCCGGCACGCGTTGTTTTGTTAACGCTGCACTCTTCTTACTAATGTACCTGTTTATACTAGCGACCCTCAGGCTAGATTATATTGTTTTTAATCTGGCCAGCTGACTGTCACTCAACAAATAATTTGGTAGGATGTGAGCTGGCACGTTGTGAGCTGGCACGTTGACAGCCTGGTTAAATTTCATTAGGCAAGCGTTATGTGACACAGCTGAGGGTTTCCTTCTGCACAACTCAGTCAACTCTTATAATTCTTAATCGTCTGTTCAAACACGCCTGATCGCTTGAAGATGCTTTCACTTTCACTTTCACCTTCACAGTAGCGATTATCGTCAGCGAGCATGCAGGGATTTAAACATTCCCTCGAATAGTTTGCAGTAACTGGGCGCTCTTGACGACCAGCGAGAGTGCACGTGTCAGATTGTGACACATATCCTCCGTTATAATTATACAGTCTGTCACAACGTGTGTTCCTTTGTATTATTGGTTCACACCGTGCCATATCATGGAGATGCGTTGTCATGGGGATGCGTTGTCATGGGGATGCGCTGAATCTCGATTCCCTAAGAATGTGATTAGAAACAATTCTTGTTGATTGGTATTCGGAAACCCTTACTCTCAGATACTTTTGTGACTTATAGTGATTTCTAGTCCGCATTGCGACCGTTGTCTCTTACAAACACCACCTCGCTCTTCGATTGATTAATACAGACTGAAATAGATTCCTCTGAAGCTATTCCATTTAATACGGCCACATTTAACACAGCCACATTTAACACAGCCACATTTAACACAGCCTCATTTAACACAGCCTCATTTAACAGAGCGTCGACCAGTACCAGTAAAACCCACTTTGATTGGATATAATTCTTTTCGACACTTCTTTACGGGAATAATTATTATTAAACTCACTGGATACGCTAGAATTAATAAATTATCCTGATTATTACGCTACCGCAACAGAAACAGGTAGAATTAGACTTGTAACTCGTTTCACGTAAAGCTCAATTTCTGACGAATTCCTGACGAGAACAAGTTCTCAAGTTTGGAAATAGTTATATAATATATAATCTTTTCAAGCCACTTGTGGTGACATTTATTATGTTCGATTACGAAAATCCAGTCATAATTTCAATCAGACCTCATTAACGTAATGGATAGTCTTATTTGTAACCATTTCATATTTTCGCAAATTAGTATTACATTTACCAATTAAATTTGTGTTGTGTACTCGGTAGTGCAGCCAGAGTAGCATACTACTATTACTTAACTAGTTATTATTACTAGTTATTATTACTGCTACAATATTAGTTGTTATTACTACAACTACTACAACTACTACTACTAGTACTTCAGGGAAACATGGCTGCTAACGGTTAGTGTGTCAGCCACCTTTCTTCAAATATTCTCGCTATTAATTCTTGCAGTTCTTAGCTTGTGTTAATTTGTGCCTTAATTCGGAAAACGACGGCTCAAAACTGCCCTTTAATAAGCGTCACCTGTTGATAGTTACATAATAAACACTGCCAAAATTTCAAAAATGTTCAGCTAATCTCATTAGATATTTTAACACATAAACTGTACGTTTGCTTTCTGTTTGTTACGTCTCCTGCTGTGTAAACGTGCCAGAAGGTATCGTACAGAGAAATGGCAATGATGACAAACAGTAAATATTGTTTATCTTACGTTTAGGCAGCTCCTCTGAGAAACAGCGTTTAATCAATGTGATTTTAATAAATATTAGAAAAATGTTTCTTCTATTTCATACTTTTTCTCAAACTTTAAAAGGCTCTGATTTTTAGATCTAATCTGATCTATTGAATATCTAACTGTGCCATTTTTCAGTGGTAGTGCGAAGACAGAATAATGAGCAGGAGGTCTCTGAGAGGCCCATGTCCATGGCTGAGAGGATGAGCATGTTCGAATCGAAGAAATCAAGTGGGAGAGACTTTGGCCAGAGTCCAACAACAAACGGGGTTTCTTCTCAGAAAGCTAGTTGGAGGAATGCCCCCGCACAGGTACCAGCCCACTGCCTCGGTTGTTTAATATTACAATATACTCTACACTACTCACTACTCACTAATCACTACTATATACTCTATTACTTACTACTACTAAATCTGCACTTCAACTGTTTCACGTGTCCAGTATAGTCAGCACTAAATTCCTGTCTCTTAGTTTCCCAGATGGTTTATTGACAGAGTCTAACACCTTCCCTACTGTCAGGTGAAGCTGGGAGAAGAGAAGCCGGATGAGCAAGAGAGCTCCCCCGTGCCAAGGCGCGCCTCCAAGGTCAGTCAGAACGCTAAAGACAACAGACACACGATGCCACCCAACGCTTACTCTCCCAAACAGATCTCCACCCCTCCCGAGAAACCCACCCCTAAACAAGCAGCGCAAGCTTCTAGTGGCAGGGACAAGATGAGAACTGCTCTTGGAGGCATGATGGCCGCTATCGAGACTGAGAAACAGCACAAGGGAATGTAAGTATACTTATCTTAATACTGCAATTAATATAGGCCCATTATCCTTAATTTTTACCGTTAAATACCTCACCGAAGATTGGCAGGTTTTAAAAATTCCGTTACCTTAAGGTCCAACCAATAATTTGTCCACGCGAATAAATACTCCATATTGCCTCGAATAATGTTGTTAAGTTGGGGAACCTGTACATAGAGGCTGCTAGTAGATAAATTAGCGGTTTTTCAACTTTTCTGCCATCGGGGATAATTTGGTCGTGATAATGTTACTAATAAGGTTTTATAGTTTTCTCTCAATTGATAACATTTCCCATTTAAAGGGCTAGAATTGTTGCTTCTCTATGACATTGCCTTTAGATTAGGTATGATTGCCGCCTGCGCTAGCTTGAAGCCTTACAGTAGAAACAATTAACGCTTCTAGCAAATGGCACTTATAGTCAGTAAATAAAGAGCAATACATCTGCAGGAGGGGTGTAGTTAGAGATATTGATAAATAATTCAGCTGATATTTTGGAATTAACACGCTAGCTTACAATCAAACCTTACAAATTAATTATTAATATACATTTTTGTCTAGAAAGTTGACATGAATGGTATGCACTAATTGCAACTTCTGATTTACAGAAAACAGTAACTTCTGATTTACAGAAAATAACACGAAGATATTTCTTTATAATTCCATGTTAAGAATTTAGTTTTTCGATTAAAGTAGTTTTATAAAATTCTCGCCATAACCATACGTTATGGCGGCGGTATGAAAGAGAAACAGTGTCCCGTTATGGGTCGTGCGTTAAACCTTCAAACGAGTGAAACCACTGTCCTCAGAATCAGTCCCTCTCACTGGACGCTTTCTGTTGCCGATATCAGCAATGACATCGACCAGTTGGTGGAGTCCCTGAACATAACGGAAATTCCAAGGCCAAGGACGTTTAGATCTACAAGTCCTCTGAACGAACACTGCACACATCCCATCAGTCATTCACCCACCAGACCGTCTCCATACCTCGCCCCACCCATCACACACCTCACCCCACCACACCCAACACCACACTCACCCAGAATTAGATCCTCTTCACCCCACTTGAACGTTACTGAACGACTTGCAAAGTTTTCAAAGAGCTGTAATGATCTGCTATACAATCTGGATACTAGTTTAGGCGACACCAGGTATGAAGGAGATCCTTGTACAGAGCAAACAGTGGGAGACACAGGACAAGCTCCTGAGGCGGACTATGGAGCTCAAATGAGAGAAGAAGAAAACAGACCTGGCTCCAGAGAGAGTTACCGAAAAATTCATAGTCCTATCCGAGATGACGATGAAACTGCATACTCTCGAAATATAGGGAGTCGCCCGTGGGAGGAAGCAGAAGACGTGGGACAAGATGAGAGGTTGAGAAGAATAGGATCACCCCGGAGGAGAGTGACCAGAAAAAGGACCTCTAGTATGGAATCTCAAACCACATATGACAACTACCATTCCACCAAACAATCGTTCATAGTCCGTCCTACTTGCATCACCCCAATCAACACGACCAACCTCTTCTACGCTAACCCTCCCTCCAGACCCATCACCCCTCTCAATACCTCAGAACTCCTCTACATCTCCAGCAGAACACCTTCTCCGGAGATATTGTTCCAGCCGTACACCAAACCAGCCCCTCCAAACCGCAGACCTGCCACCAGGTCACGTGGAACTAGCCCTCTCAAAGTTAGTTTTGAAGAAGAGTCACCCTCTCGGTACAAGGACAGTGGGTTAGATTGTTCTAGGGAAACACTAGAGACCTATTTAGATTGTTCCAAACAAGAATATCCACTAGATTGTTCTCGATGTCCGACCCCCCTCAAAAACCCGCTCAGAACCTCCTCGCCTAAGTCACTTCTTAACCGCTCAACCTCACCCTCTCAGATGACGTATATCCCAGGCAAGAGATTAGCTCCTTTCCCTAAACAGTACCAAACCATCACCTCCACATTTGAAGCTCCAGACCTATCATCTACAGTAAAAGACTCAAGCCAAGCGAAATGGAGTGGGTATGACAGTGACGGGGACGGATATAGGACTGCTAACACTTCACCTGATGGCGGAGTGTCATGGTGGTAGCTTTACTGAACAGTTCTCTCATGGTACATATTATATTAGTCTGTAAATTTGTATTTAAAGTTTGTATCGTGTCATTATATTGTTATCAGTATGTTAATTGTTGCAAATAGACCGCTTGTTGTATGAATTGTGTTTGAAAGCGATTTTTATATTATTGTGAATTAAGTTATGCATACCAGTTAAACTGTATTCAGTTAATTTGTAAATCGTATTGAATCATGTAAGTGTCAATTTGTAAATATTATTACATTCGCCCACTTTTCACCATGTCAAATTCCTGTACTGTTAGAGAATTCGCTGGTACAAGAACCTTATAATAAAGAAAGATTTATGCGATGAGCTCTACGAAGGTTCCTTATGTCCTCGTGACTGAGAGAGGGTGTTACCTCCCCGTTAAACAGTGTACTTACCACACAACTTCATTGATTTCAGGGCACCTCCGGTAGAGAGGTAAGTTTGGCCAACTCACTGATAGTCCCAGCACACAGTATCATGACACGCCCTACAGCTCCCCCTACACTCTACAGCCACCCCTTAAAGCCCCCCTCCTACAGCCACCCCACCCCTACAGTCTACAGCCCCCCCTCCTACAGCCCCCTCCCTCATACAGCTACCCCCACCCCTACAGTCTACACTCTACAGCTCCCTCTACAGCCACCCCCTTACAGCCCCCTCCCTTTCTTACAGCCCCCTCCCTCCTACACTCTACAGCTCCCCCTAAAACCACCCCTCACAGCCCCCCTTCTTACAGCCCCCCTCCTACAGCCACCCCACCCCCTACAGTCTACAGCCCCCCTCCTACAGCCCCCCTCCTACAGCCACCCCACCCCCTACACTCTACAGTCTACAGCTCCCCTTACAGCAACCCCTTTACAGCCCCCCCTCCCTACAGCACATCACCTCAAAACTAATAATCAGGAGTCAGGACAGTATGAGCTGCATGTGAAGTGCACATCCAACGTTAACTGGTATCCTGTAGTTATATATATATATATCTCCCAGCTCATAATAGAGGGCCTGCTGTAAACTTCTGTTATTAGGAACCCTATTATCTCATTACGTCAATAGAACGGAGCAAGCAGCTAATTATAGAAGCTTCCTAGCCTGACTTGGGCCCCATTTCCGCTCTCAAACATTATCCTTCGTTTTGTACGCCCCGTGACCTAGTATACACAGTGTATAGTAGGCTGCTCACCTTTTGTTTGTTGTCCGACTCCTTGCTTGTAGTAATATGACGTCACCAGGCATTCAGATAGGGGCCCTCATTCTCCTCGCTATCTTATCGGTAACATTTATCTTCAAAAGGTGGAGCTCCAGGAGGACGACTCATCAGGGTGACCTTGACAAGCTTCTTTTGGACAATTTGGAGACATTTGATAAGACATCTGGGAGCACTAGCACATCAAACTCAACTCACAGAGCACCTCACGACACCAAACACAAATCCTCATCAGCTCAGAAATCTAAGAGGAATTTTACTTACTCCAGAACCTCTTCTAAACCCCTTTATGATGAAATAGAGGAGGAGAAAGAGGATTCAGACCCTGAAATGAAGAATCTTGCCAGAGGACTGAAATCAGATTTATTTACGGGTACTGACAAAATGTTAGATGACATTGATCATTTGTACAAGAACAGTGTAACAAAGTATGAGAAACACTTTATCAGAAAATCAGAGAGTCTGTGCGATGCCCTGAATAAGATAGACGCTTTAAATATCAAAGAAGAAAACAAACAGTTTCTGTTAGAAAATATGGACAATGAGACATACTGTAATCCGCTGGTACCTCAAAAATACAGCGTTCATCCCAAAAAACTGGACACTAACGCTGACAAGCACATCGCCCTCCGATCCCTAATGAAGAAACGGCACGACTTCTCGACGCGGACACCTACCAGAATATTTGACAAAAGTGAACCTACCTGGAAACCCACCGGTCTAGTTAAATTACCTGTTAAGTCTAAATACAATCCATCAGAAGTGGTGAAAGGGGAAACGACAGAAAAGTACTCCTCATTCACACGGTCAGGTCTTCTGTCTCCACAAGAACGAGTTATGGAAAATATCAAGAACCTGAGAGAGGGAGACGATAATATGGCTCAAGTGCTGCCCTCCAAGGCTAAGCATAATAAATATGTGCCGTTAGAATGCGAGGAGCCTCCTCTGCCCCGACCTAGAGGTGTTTTCACTCCCAAACCTTTGAAGAAGACTATAAAGGAACCTCCAAAACCGATGATGCTGCCAGAAAATAGTAAACCAGCTCCTTTTACTTATATGAACTCACTGAATCCTGTGGCAGATCTATCTGTTATCAAGGCTAGAAAAGAGGCGAACAAGGCTGAAACAAACCCCAGAACTTCAGATGATGCACCCCTTACAAAAGGTGTAAAGCGAGGGTCCGTGAAGAATCTAGCCGCAATGTTCAACAGCAGCTTGAAACCAAAGCAGGACCAGTCCAAACGATCAAGACGCAAGAGCGAGGGATCCTCCAGAGTTGGAGGAATGAAACATGGGCTGATTAAATCAAAATCCCTGGTGTTTGATAACGATTCAGGGAGTTTAGGAACTGGGATCTCCACGAACGATCTGACTTGTAGCACTAAGTACACAGACAACACTGACAGGGATGTGGACACCTCCATTATGGACGATACTGCAGACAGTGACCTTTTCAACGACAAGATGCTGCTTCCTCACATCATGCTGAACGGGCAGGACAATAACAAGGAGGAAGAGGAGGATGACTTCCAGTCGAGTGAGAGTCTGTCGCGAGCAGTGTCTCCAGTGTTAAGGAGTAGGAGAGGCAGCTACGCTTACAAGAAGCGAATTCCAAAGAAAGTTGAAAGCAACTACAGTGGTTATTACAACGACAAACCGAACTTCTCTGACACCTCAGAAGACTCGGCTCAGAGGGAAACGCAGCCTCCGGTAAAAGTATTTGATAAAGAGTTGAAGAGAACAGTGGCTGTTAAACCGGAACTGTCAACTATTGTTAGTCAGAGAACTCCCTTTCAGTCGCAAACCGATCCAACTATCACTCCAGAAGAACCAGTAACTAACATCATGTCTTTAACTACTGCTTCTAACATCATGCCTTCAACTGCCGCTATAGTTAATTCTACCACACTCACCTCTAGACCCCCCTTGATAAGATCTAGACATATAGGAGATGATGTTCTGCGTCAAAACCCGGCTAAGAAACCTTCAGTTCCAGTATCATCACTAGATGACCAGTTCGATTTATCTAAACCCCCTAAGTTTGACAGTGACTATGATTTGGACTGTTCTCAGTCGTCAAGCAGCTCGTTAAAAGAAAACGACTGTACAAAGAATAGCCAGGATGAAATGAAACAGGCCAACATTGAAAATAAGCTGACTATAATCTCAGACCCTAGCAGTACTAAAATACCGTTTAGTATCACAGAATACCAGAAAATGTTTGCAAAAAAGCAGGAAAGTAGAGATGCCACAACAACTAAAACTCGTCCTCGGTTCTCCAAACAGAAAACTATCACCCCCACCTCCCACACTAACTCCATTGCCGCCACAACTCGCACCACCATTAACTCCACCCTGTCATCCCGCACCAACACCTCCACACCATCAACCCGCAACACCTCCAACACCTCCACACCATCAACGCGCAACACCTCCACAACCAATACTCCCAGAGGACTGATCAAATGCTCAACCTCCTCTCTCCAGTCAAGGGGCCCCACCGTCAAGTTTGGGTAAGATTTGTGAAGCTACCTACTCCTTGCTCAACTGCACCAACGCTTATAGTTTTGCTCAAGAGTCGTATTCCGTCGAATCTTTGCTGCTATCTTAGCCTATTCTGCTATTCTTAATATTTTACAAACTCCGTAAAGGAGTTAAAGCCTCCCTCCGCTCAGTTTAAGGACATATCCATACACTTTGCTATAACCCTTCCCACTGGTTACACATTATAAATTATTGAAACATTTCTTCACTTGACAGGTGACCAGTGACTGCTACTTATCACTGTCCGGTGTCAAGTGATACAAACTGCTGCCACACAGCCGCTGTAACTGTTGCTCCAAAGTCATACTTCACACATCACACTGCACGAATCACACTGCACACATGACGCTAACAGCACATAGTCCGCCCAGTCAGAATGATGACACACAGCTAGTTTGTGACATTAGGCTCTCTGAGTAACACTGGCTATTAAAACTCGGTGTGATACAATAGCACAAGACACAGCTAGAAAATCAAACATATTTTCATTTTTCATCATCGCTAAAACTACGCTGATTCAGTGCTAATCTGCATCGTTCATGATAAATCCCGCCATCAAACTCCAAACTAACAGACCCTTACAGACATGATCCTGATTTCAGTGCTCAGCCCAAGTCGATCACCCCCAAGTTTATCGGCCTTGTGAACAATGTGGCCCCCAAGAACCCGGTAAAACGAGCCCAGTCTATCGCGGCGCCAGGAAGTGCTACCAGTAAGAAAGCAGCTCTGTTACACTGGTGTCAGAGAATGACAGAGGGACACGAGGTTAGTTACCATGACAAATGAAAATGCTACTGATAATACTACTGATAATACTACTGATAATACTACTGGTAATGTTACTGGTAATACTACTGGTAATGTTACTGGTAAAACTACTGGTAATGTTACTGGTAATACTACTGGTAATGTTACTGGTAATACTACTGGTAATGTTACTGGTAAAACTACTGGAAATGTTACTGGTAAAACTACTGGTAATGTTACTGGTAATACTACTGGTAATGTTACTGGTAATACTACTGGTAATGTTACTGGAAATACCACTGGTAATGTTACAGGAATTGTTACTGGAAATGTTACTGGTAATGTTACTGGCAATGCTACTGGTAATGTTACCGGCAATGTTTAAGGCCATGTATCCGTGAAGCTGGGTGGCTCTTGGTTGTTAACATTAACCCCCACCTAATGTTTTAAGGATTCTGAATAATGAAAATATTCAGTATGACTAACAGTTAATAGAAGTATTGACGCAAACAAATAACACCGAGAATTTATGACCATAATTGGAAATGTTGACTCCAGAACCGGATTATCTTAACATGCCAGCACTTGTAACTATAGCAACTATAGCAATATAGGCCACTGTCAGGACTCAGCATTCTGTAAACCTCACAACAGGGGGGGGGGGGTGGGGGGCTGGGGGACCTTATTTCACAGATCACAACAGACTCTGTCTAATACCACTTTAACAAACTCTCATTCCAGCACGTCAACATTACGAATTTCGGGAAGAGTTGGAACGACGGAATGGCCTTCTGCGCTCTTTTCCATCATTTTGTTCCTGATCAGATACCATACGAGACTCTCGACCCAAGGAACAGGGTATGTACTGGGAGAGTACTGTATTGTGATAACGGTATACATTAAGAACAGGGTATGTACTGGGAGAGTACTGTATTGTGATAACAGTATACATTAAGAACAGGGTATGTACCGAGAGAGTACTGTATTGTGATAACAGTATACATTAAGAACAGGGTATGTACCGGGAGAGTACTGTATTGTGATAACGGTATACATTAAGAACAGGGTATGTACTGGGAGAGTACTGTATTGTGATAACAGCATACATTAAGAACATGCTATGTACTGGGAGAGTACTGTATTGTGATAACAGTATACATTAATAACAGGGTATGTACTGGGAGAGTACTGTATTGTGATAACGGTATACATTAACAACAGGGTATGTACTGGGATAGTACTGTATTGTGATAACGGTATACATTAAGAAAAGGGTATGTACTGGGAGAGTACTGTATTGTGATAACGGTATACATTAAGAACAGGGTATGTACTGGGAGAGTACTGTATTGTGATAACGGTATACATTAAGAACAGGGTATGTACTGGGAGAGTACTGTATTGTGATAACGGTATACATTAAGAACAGGGTATGTACTGGGAGAGTACTGTATTGTGATAACGGTATACATTAAGAACAGGGTATGTACTGGGAGAGTACTGTATTGTGATAACGGTATACATTAAGAACAGGGTATGTACTGGGAGAGTACTGTATTGTGATAACGGTATACATTAATAACAGGGTATGTACTGGGAGAGTACTGTATTGTGATAACGGTATACATTAATAACAGGGTATGTACTGGGAGAGTACTGTATTGTGATAACGTATAGTACATTAAACCCTAATGTACCGCACCGTGTCTCCTACCGCTAGTTTTACTAGTTTTTAATAACTTGGATAAGTTAAGAATACAAGTTAAAGATACGGGGTAAGTAGTATAAACATAATGGCGAGGAACTCCCGTTTCCAAGGTGATGACGAAAAGTACACTCACACAACCAGAGAGACAGTCTTATTAACACCGTCTACTCTACAGATACTATAGATACTCTACTCATGTACTGCTCTGTTTTCTTCTAGTAGCCCATCTGATGGATAATTTATAATCCTTATATTGTTCTAACTTTACGCTCTAATTGAAAGTACAGTCTTTGGAGGGTGTTATCAACAATCTCAGAGGATAATAGAATATAGATATACAGGGTGGGCAAAAATACAGTTTACTAATTAGTAATAAATTTCAGGAGTTTAACTTCCATTTAGCGTTCACAGAAGGCGAGAAAGCGGGAGTCACAGCGCTTTTAGTAAGTCATAACCATACGATTTATAAGTTTATAGTTATACACGAATTTTTTATAGTCAGCAAGTTATACCCCCACCACCCCCCCCCCCCCCCCCCCCCCCCTGTTATAGTCAGCAAGTGTTTTATTTTATTGGTCAGGATTTGCTAGAGAATCCAAGTAAGGACGAGGCCGGCCAAGGGTTGTATAACGATTTCCTGCCAATACCCGCAGTCAATAACTACGTTTAACAATTCGTGCCGTGTTTTATTTGACCGCGCCAAACGTTGGCATCCTCGTAGGAATGTTTTCCTGAGAATAACTAGCCTGTTTTAGGAGAGTACCATGGCGTTGTAATCAAAGGAGTGTATCGGGGCTTTAAGAGTACTGGCGTTGTAATTAAAGGAGTGTATCGGGGCTTTAAGGGTACTGGCGCTGTAATTAAAGGAGTGTATCGGGGCTTTAAGGGTACTGGCGCTGTAATTAAAGGAGTGTATCGGGGCTTTAAGGGTACCGGCGCTGTAATTAAAGGAGTGTATCGGTGCTTTAAGGGTACTGGCGCTGTAATTAAAGGAGTGTATCGGGGCTTTAAAAGTACTGGCGTTGTAATTAAAAGAGTGTATCGGGGCTTTAAGAGTACCGGCGCTGTAATTAAAGGAGTGTAACTGTATCGGGGCTTTAAAAGTACTGGCGCTGTAATTAAAAAGTGTATCGGGGCTCTCCTCAGGGTAAGTGACATCTGAGATGTCGGAGGTGCGGATGAAAAGAATGCTAAAAATGGCACGAATACATGCCCGGTCTGTAGTAACCGCAGCGCTTTGCTTCTACGACAAGGCGATGAAGGGTGATGATAGATCGAGAATAGCAAGACTGCGCAAGACTGCTGTGTTCGGATAGTTGAGTAGCTGAACTTGTTTCTTGAATTTCGTAACGTTTGCGTGCACGTCTGAACGCCATTGATACCAGATTCCCCGCTCAAATTCCTGCGATGACATTGCATTCCGATATCAGTCATCTCCAAGAACGGATAAAGCAGACAGAGTTGGCGCTGGCAAACGCCCAACAGCAGCCCAGTTTGGCTGAGTTACAGCACATGCTGGCAGACGCTTACAAGGAGCAACAGGACCTTGAAAATGACATTAGAGCGCTGAATCAGGAGAGGGAAAATCTGAAGAACTCTCTGCCAGACAAACAGAACAAAAACCGTGTTATCAAACCACGGGGTCCATCAGGACAGGTCATCTCCAGAAGAAAGAGCAGGACTCAAGTCTTCCAGTTTAAGAGAGATCAGCCCATCAAAGAGAGGGCCTCAGTGGAGAGTGTAATGTTAACTGTGGTTAGAAACAGGAGGTTGAACAGCGCTAGTTAGACACTCCTAAATCAGGCTAGTCAGTGTTATGAAACAGGAGGTTGGATATTAGATCAATCCTACTGTGAATGTGGGCAGCTTACTGCTGCTGTAGAACTATAAAATTGGAGAAATGGTGATCCCCGACTCACAATTAGTAGAGTTGAGGGCAGAATGAGTTACAAAGTAAGTTACTAACCTCCTCCTCCTCCTCCTCAGGACGTAGAGGATATGGTGGAAATGCGAAACCCGGACTGGATGAGCGTGATGACCTACATATCTCTTATCTACAATCACTTCAACGGCATCAGAGTCGGGGGACCTCGTCTTCCTCCCATGCCTGGCAATGAGTAACTTCCACCCTTATCCAGGGTTCTCTCTCTCTCTTGTCGTGCTCTTCTGCTGACCTTGTTGAGTTGTGTGCTCAGTGCTCACCCCATGCAGTTCCTCCTGCTAATTTTTGATGTCATTGAGATCGAGGATTGTTTACCTAATACACTCGGTTGTGATCATATTTAGAATATCCTAATGTAATACTAATAACAGCTAATCGTTTATTGAATATCTCAATATTTTTTACTTTATAATCGTGAAATTAAGCGAGTCTGATGTTCTGATAAAAGTCTTTTTGTTAAAAGAAAAGGAATGGCTGAGAGCCGACATTTGTAAATAGAAAATTCCAAAAAGTTGGCAGCAGTACGATTTGACCGAGCTCCAGTGTTTGAAAGTTGACAATAATAAATAATAATGAACTAACCTCGCAAGATTTCGAGTTTTTAACAGCTCTCTTCTCATCATTCAAATATTTGTATAAAATGTATCAACTTTGGACTGTGATCTTCGATTTGTCGTATGCCCTGAAGAAAAGAGACTGGAACTTGAAGATTAGAGAATTGCTGAAAACCAAACAATTATTTCAATTCCGTTCTTTAATTTCAAATAACAGCTTTTGATTCTTTAACAGCTAAGTAAGCTGGAATCAAAACTTTTTTAATTGATTTATGTAGAGAAGCATGTAAATACCTATTTAAAGGATTGATAATATTATATTTGACATTTTGTACACAAAACTAATTTTCTGCCTTGTTCATTTAAACACAACAAAAACACTGAAGTAGTGCAAAATTGAATTTTATGAAAGCATTAAACGCATTCTGAAAACGCAAAATTGGAAATATTTAAAAAGAATAAAAATTAAATTACGAAGTTTCTATTTTTCAAAATGATATCTAAAACATTAAATTCTCAATCCTCATCTCAAAAAGATTCCCATCACGTATGTCTTTTGAAAATATAAAATATGTATTTTCTTTCTGAATTAAAAATATATTTGTAACTTTGAAATGAATAAATCAAAAAATTAACACTAGCAGTAAAACATTGATAGTTTAGTGGAATATTCTCCTCACACAGATGAAGCCCCCTCTTCCACTCCCTCACCCAGATGAAGCCCCCTCTTCCGCTCCATCACCCAGATGAAGCCCCCTCTTCCACTCCCTCACCCAGATGAAGCCCCTCTTCCACTCCCGCACTCAGATGAAGCCCCCTCTCCCGCATCCTGATCCTGTGTAGAGAATACCAGGAGCTGGTGACTGACGAGGAACTGGAGGATCAGCTGGGCTCCCTCTACATCCCTCCCCTCAAACAGAAGGACTCCGAATGTTCTGGAGAGATCTAGCAACGTGACACTGTTATCCTCGTGACACCTGGTTTAACTTGGTGTTAGATAACCACTTGATTGAGTGGTCACTGTAATTAGAGCATTTGACTTACTAGGTTGAAACTGAAGCGAGTTATTAATTAAAATCACGTGGGCACCCTCTAAGTGTAAATTGTAAATATAATAGTAAATATTTTGCTGGCCGGAGCTCCCCACAGTCGGTAGAGGACGAACTTTTAGCTGAAATGGCTGGAATCACATACTACTAGACTGAAATGGCTGGAGTGGACCTTCGATTGGCGGATATTCTGAAAATGAAAAGTATTTCAGAAGACTAACGTTAGAGCAAGAGAGAAGAACTTTACAGCACTCCTCAGAACATTGAACTTGTTGGGCTCCAAATCCAGAAGTTTTCTAATCTCTTTCACCGCTTCTTCCGAGGTTGTAGTGGCCATTATCCTGTCTTGAAGACAGCGGGAAACTTCAGTAGATACTAGGGCTGATAACCTGAAAAGAGAAGAATTAGAGAATTAATATTCACATTGTACAGGTAATGAACACTGAACAGGTGTTCACTGTTCAGTAATCACTCCGCTGACGATTACATCCTGCTACATGGATTATAATGAACTATATTAATCACATACTGCTAGACTACTATTACTATTGTTAACAATGAACTGTAATCTTAGTACATATTGTAATAATAGTACATCTGATAATAGTTACGTGTATTACCGACCACGCCCCACAAACCGTGTAATATCTTATAATCATACATTTAGTGGCGAAGATGGGAGCAGATTTTCCCTTATTTAGGATAAACGGTGGAGAGCTAAGCATCACATTTGAACTGATTCTTTGTCTGATCTGTTGTGCTCTCCAGCTTACTTTAGCTTGTGGTTACTGTAGCTTACTTTAGCTTGTGGTAACTGTAGCTTACTTTAGCTTGTGGTTACTCTAGCTTACTGTATCTTGTGGTTGCTCTAGCTTACTTTATATTGTGGTTACTCCAGCTTACTTTAGCTTGTGGTTACTCTAGCTTACTTTATCTTGTTGTTACTTTAGCTTACTTTATCTTGTGGTGACTGTAGCTTACTGTATCTTGTGGTTGCTCTAGCTTACTTTATATTGTGGTTACTCCAGCTTACTTTATCTTGTAGTTATTCTAGCTTACTTTATATTGTGCTTTAATCCGGTATATTTGCACATTTTTATCAGACAGACAGTAAATCAGAGAGAAGGTGTTAAGTGGGAGATGCTGTTTTAATTAGAGAGAGATTATAAAGTAGACTGTTATAAACATCTAGCTATTATACATTTTACAGTATAGATATCACAGCACCATTGTAACCGGGCCTTCTGCTGGGATCTACAACTAACTGCTGGTACACCCCCCCCCCCCCCCCCCCCCCCCCCCAAGAAATAAGAATGGAAACAGCTGTCAGACAACCTTGTAAATGTTATTTCGTTATGGCTCCAACACAAGAACTGTTAATTTGTGATTAATATTTAACAATAATTTCCACCTCTAGCTAACGGAATGTTCTAGGTACTCAGTACTACCTCTGTTCCTTAACCTGACATTCGCTTAGCAACAACATAGCAACCACATAGCAACCACATAGTAGCCCCATAGCAACCTAGAGACCATACAAATACCAGCTCAACCTTTACATAGCAGTCAGACAACCAACAGTAACCAAGATGAATAAGCTGGAAGCAGTGGTGTTCAACAACCGTGGGGGACCTCTGAAACTGAAACTAAAAGTGGCAAAGAAGATGCCTCTACCTCAGAGGTGTTATCTGTGGGCTTGTATCATATTTGGTAGGAGGGAAAGTTAACTTAATCTAATTTATTCTGAGTGAAATGATCCGCATAACATGGACCTTTACTGATAGTTGAAATTCGACATATGACGTCATCTAGCGTCATCTAGCGTCATCTAGCGTGAAATATCGCCAGATGATGATAGATGACGCTAGATGACGCTAGATGACGCTAGATGACGCTAGATGACGCTAGATGACGCCAATTAGCGACATTGTCGCTAAGTGCACGGCACCTTTCGAATGTCGCTATCTAGCGCTATCTAGCGCTATCTAGCGATATATGACGCTATATGACGCTATATGACGCTAGATGACGCTAGATGACGCTAAGCACGCAGCACTGACGCCAGGCGACAGATAGCGCTATTTTCATAAAAATTCTAGGGACGACATCTAGCGTCATCTAGCGTCATATGTTGCCGCGACATCTGACGCTATCTGACGCCATCTAGCGATATCTGACGTCATCTGACGACATCTGTCGCGACGACATCTGACGCAGGCGACATCAAGCGCTGGATAGCGGGATAAGTCAGTTTACGACAGTTCACGCTATCTAGCGCTATATAGCGCCAGATAGCGCTATATAGCGTCAGATGTCGTTGCGACATATAGCGCTAGATAGCGTTAGGTAGCGCTAAATAGCGTTAGATAGCGCTAAATAGCGAAGAATTTTGGGTCGTGACAGTCCAGGCTATTTAGCGCTAGATGTCGCTATCTAGCGCTATATGTCGCTGCGTCAGATGTCGTCGCTACATATAGCACAAGATATCATATCCTATCACAGTAACAGTAATCCTAACTCTCTGTGTGTGTGTGTGTGTGTGTGTGTGTGTGTGTGTGTGTGTGTGTGTGTGTGTGTGTGTGTGTGTGTGTGTGTGTGTGTGTGTGTGTGTGTGTGTGTGTGTGTGTGTGTGTGTGTGTGTGTGTGTGTGTGTGTGTGTGAGTGGGTGTGGGTGAGTGTGTGTGTGTGTGTGTGTGTGTGTGTGTGTGTGTGTGTGTGTGTGTGTGTGTGTGTGTGTGTGTGTGTGTGTGTGTGTGTGTGTGTGTGTGTGTGTGTGTGTGTGTGTGTGTGTGTGTGTGGGTGTGTGTGTGTGTGTGTGTGTGTGTGTGTGTGTGTGTGTGTGTTACTGGGACCGTAAGCACAGCCTGTCTTTTCCCACTCAATCTTTTTTGTTATTTTTATTTTATATGAAAATTAATTTTTACTGTGTATGAAAATTAATTATAATTTAAGTGAGAATGCAAATGATATAACTATAAGCTTGCGCGGCTCGTCGAAGTCACCCAACTATTACACTCGATTTATCAAATATTCGGCTGAGTGGAACAAAATATTAAATATCACTTAATCAAGGGGTCGTTTACATATTATAATTATATAAAGGGCCTGATGCCGCCGGCCGGGGTTTTCCAAATTATTACGCTCGCTAGTGTGATTGTGACATAATACTAATAGCTTAATAGCTATGTATGGAACTGATTACTAACAATGAGGGGTCGTTCACATACCCCGTAATCAGTTTTACCATAGCTATTATATTTATGTCAATATTACACTAGCGTAATCAATAATCATTTGAAAACCCCAACCTCCAAAGCTGATTACGTAATACTAATATGTAAACGACCGTCGACCCTTAACATTTCGGGATCGGAAGAAAGCGGCACGTACTATTTCGACGAAATTTATACAAGTTACTAACATCGTTGATTCATGATGCCAATCTTTCACAGCTTAGTGGTGCATTTCGCCAAAAAGCATTATTGGATACCGAGAAGCATTTTTGGATGCGCGACGCGACACACTCACAGTAACGCATCGCGTTGATTCACGATGTCAATCCTTCACTGTTCATGTTCACAGCTCGGCGAGGCCCAGTCATGGTGCATATCGCCAATTTAGTAACATAGTTGGTCAGTTCGTAGTTCGTACAAAAGTCTTAAAAAATTCGTACAGTTCGGCACGTTTTTTCAGTTCGGGATTAGTTTGGGAAAAATTCGCCTCATAAATTTTCGAAATATATAATAAAAAGCTAATTGCAAAAATTTGTGTTAAAATGGCGGGAAACGATGACGTGCGGATGCATGTTAATATTTTAAATCTGAAATGTAACCTCCCGGACAAAAATAACAATTTTTTCGGACTGAAGTGATTACTGATTAAAAACAAATTTAAAAAAAAAAAATCGGTAAAAATTCCTCGACAGCTTTTAAAAATTTGTACAGTTCGACACCTTTTAAAAGTTCGTACATACAGTAACGTACTGACCAAGTATGTTTAGTAAAGCACTAGTGGTTGCAAGAAGCATTATATTATTGGCTGGACTGAAGTGATTACTGATTAAAAACAAATTAAAAAAAAAAAAATCGGTAAAAATTCCTCGACAGCTTTTAAAAATTTGTACAGTTCGACACCTTTTAAAAGTTCGTACATACAGTAACGTACTGACCAAGTATGTTTAGTAAAGCACTAGTGGTTGCAAGAAGCATTATATTATTGGCTGGCGCGGCCCAGTAGTGCATCGCGCTACAACAAACATCGTCAAATAGATTACTCGAAGCTCAAAGCTGTAAAGTATTTATCCAAAATAATTCCGATCCCGAGGATTGTTACTGCATACTGGGCCGCGCTCAGCCTGTCATTCCGCCAAATCTTTATTCATATTCGCCAAATCTTAATGTTTATGAACATGTACATAATAGCCTGGGTCCCCAGGTAAGAGGATTGACATAACTTATACATTTATAATATATTAATTCTAAATACTGAATGCATCGCATTTTAAGGGTTTTGGTATTTTCGTAGCTAAATTGCACTAAAGCTTTCGCGCTTGCACTTCACACTTGCGCGTAGTTCGTAAACTGAAAACTCGTGGGTACGATATATGTGATTACTGAACAATAAATTCGGCTCGACTCTCATTACATTCTTTTAATAACTTGCTGTGCGAGATTTCAATACAATTAATTTGCAAATGCTAATTTAACATTTAGATCTTTACATCATCTTCTTTCACATAGCCATGAGTCTAAGCGTACTACTAGCGAGAGGGCTATGGTTAGAGCATAAACAGGTTATACTGGACGAATCTCACTCGTTAACGGGTGATACTCGTAATTTACTATCACGCGCCGCTTTTTCTCAAAATATTAGTCTAAGCCTATACCAGCCGGCAAAGTTTTTATATGTAACCTACATACAACGTTAAAATTTAGTTGAGTTTTGAACGTTGCTTATAGTTGATAAGGTAACCTTGATCTAACGTAAAATAATAAACGTTTTGCAACGTTAAAAATAAAACCTATAACCAACGTTAGATATTTAACGTTTAACAACGTTTTATATGTAACATACATACAACTTTAAAATGTAGTTGAATTTTAAACTCTGCTTATAGTTAATAAGGTAACCTTGATCTGACGTCAAATAATAAACGTTTTGCAACGTTAAAAATAAAACTTATAAGTATAACCAACGTTAGATATTTAACGTTTAACAACTATAGCCATAGCTATAGCTGTCGCCGCGATATCTAGCGCTAGATAGCGCTATCTAGCGCTATCTAGCGTTAACTGTCACAAACCGATATTCTCCGCTAGATAGCGCTATCTAGCGCTAACAAGCGTTATCTAGCGGAGAATGTCGGTTTGTGACAGTTTACGCTAGATAGCGCTATCTAGCGCTAGCTGTCGCCGCGATATCTAGCGCTAGATAGCGCTATCTAGCGCTATCTAGCGTAAACTGTCACAAACCGACATTCTCCGCTAGATAGCGCCAGATAGCGCTAGATAGCGCTAGATAGCGCTGCGTCAGATGTCGTTGCGACATATAGCGTTAGATAGCGCTAGATACCGCTAGATGTCGCAAAAAAAAGGGCGGAAATTTTATGAAAATAGCGCTATCTGTCGCCTGGCGTCAGTGCTGCGTGCATAGCGTCATCTAGCGTCATCTAGCGTCATCTAGCGTCATATAGCGTCATATAGCGCTAGATAGCGCTAGATAGCGCTAGATAGCGCTAGATAGCGCTAGATAGCGACATTCGAAAGGTGCCGTGCACTTAGCGACAATGTCGCTAATTGGCGTCATCTAGCGTCATCTAGCGTCATCTATCATCATCTGGCGATATTTCACGCTAGATGACGCTAGATGACGTCATATGTCGAATTTCAACTATCAGTAAAGGTCCCATAACATCAGGCTCATCCAACACTCGCACAAGTAGTGTAGTATTACACTTTACTACACTACTCGTACTTGCCACAGGGAGATTGATTACCATTTGTTACAGGAATCATCACAGTGCTCCCCTTGTTCCACTACATGTCTAGATGGGAGGCTGTTAATGAAGTTAAGGAAGAGGACCTTATTCGTCTCTCAAAGTGAGTCCCCCCCCCCCCTATAAGAGGACTTTATTCGTCTCTCAAAGTGAGTTCATCCCCCCCCCCCCCCCCTTTTAAGAGGACTTTATTCGTCTCTCAAAGTGAGTTCACCCCCCCCCCCCTATAAGAGGACTTTATTCGTCTCTTAAAGTGAGTTCACCCCCCCCCCCCCCCTATAAGAGGACTTTATTCGTCTCTCAAAGTGAGTTCACCCCCCCCCCCCCCCCCTTATAAGAGGACTTTATTCGTCTCTCAAAGTGAGTCTCATTTATCATATTTTTATCCTCCGTAATATCAAAATATACGAGTTAATTCTTTGAAATGTGAACCTACAGTGACACACTAATTTCCAGTTTGGATCTGGAGGAAGGTTTGGTGTACAGCGGGAATATAATAAAATCTATCCTGGATATTAAATCCTACACCAGCACTGTGCTAGGTATCTAAATCTTATCATTTTATCTTTTGGTTCTTTAGGATCTAATAATTCAATATTGTTGTGACCGAGTTAAATATGCGAATATGATAACTAAATAGAACTAAAACTTGTTGTAGAGAACGGACTGAGGGTGTTGGTTGTGTCTGATCCTCTGACGAGCCTGGCTGCAGCGAGTTGTGATGTGGCAGTGGGCAGCTTCCAGGATCCTCCTAACATACCGGGTATACATTCTTAGTTATCAATCTTACAATTCGTTAGTTCAAATTAAGCAAATTCAGATGAGTTATGGGGTTTTGTTTGACGGTTGTTTGTTGCAGGTTTAGCTCACCTTGTAGAGCACGGTTTGTTTCTTGGAGATTCAGAACACAAGGAAGCAAACACATTTGAACAGTTCCTGGCTGAACATAGCGGCCACTCCAACGCCTTTACCAGTCAAGAAAACACCAACTACTACTACAAGGTTTCCCCCGACAAGTTAGAGGAATCCCTTCACAGATTCAGTCTCCTTCTCTCCCACCCCCTTCTGGAACTGGAGTCCTTGCAGCGGGAATACCACGCTATCCAGAGCGAGTTCCTGAAGGACAAACTGGAGTCCGCTCGCCAAGTGTGGAGGCTTATCAAACACATGGCAAATCCTAGCCACCCCTTCCATCGGCTCAGCCCAGGAAACTTAGAGACACTCCAAAACTTACAACATTCATCGGTGATAAAAGAATTCCACTCAAAGCACTACTATCCTGAAAACATGAGATGTGTAGTGTATGGAAGGGAGGATTCACAGGATCTACTAGAAATGTCAAGGAAATGTTTCAGCAAACTAACAAACATGAAGCCCCGCTCTGAGCCGGATCAAGAGAAAGGTTGGGTTTCTGCCTACCCCGAGGAGAGACTAGGAGTCTGGGTGGACTATGAGCCCCTCAGAGAGGGTAATGATCTGGATATGATCTGGCCGGTGACTGGAGCCAGTAGGTGCGGACTGGGGATGCAGTACACGTGCTCTCAGAGAGGCATCCCAAATCAGCGCTAGCTTCATTGAAGAGACAGGGATTGGCTACATCTCTCACCTGGTCTATTGTCATCAGCACCGCCAGCTTTTCTCTAGTCAGAGTCAATGTTGGGCTCACTCAGCTCGGAGCCAAATCTATTTCAACTGTCGTTAATCTCATCTTCGTCAGGTTTTAATGCTGAAAACAGATTCAGTGACAGCCATGAAATCCTGGCTGGTTAAGATACACCAGGAGTCATGCAGGGTTTTATAAACCACGAGAATGCAGGTATTCACCACTTTGCTAAGTCTCTCTCCTCCAGAATGAGTAAAGTGCTCCACCCTGCCTTCTATTTGGGAGCTCCCACACAAGTTCCTACTGTCACGTGTCTGATGCTAGCTCTACAGAGTCTCACCTCCAACAACAGCATCATGCTAGCTGGCTTATCAGGCCGGGGACACTCTTACACTGACAGGGAACCCTGGTACGGTATTCCCTACACTACAACACCGCTTATCAGGCATAGATCTAGCAAGTTCTACTTACAAGTTCGACATTTGGCCGCCTCCCCCGCTCAGAACCAAGATTCCTAAAACGTTCCCCCTATTGAGAGGATGTGGAACAGCACTACTGGCCCAACAAGATACAGGACGATAAAGCACTGACAGTGTGGTGGCAGCAGGACTTCACATTCCACATTCCTAAGATAGAGATGATGTTGTGGATATACGGGCAGTACGAGCACTATACCCCCCGGGAAGTAGCACTTCACTACCTTCTCGCGGACATGATCAGAGATCAGGTTCAGGACCTCACCCAGCCGCCCGGATACTCCATCCAGATCTACTACCAGAGCAGTTCCGGACTGGTTGTGACTCTCAGTGGATATAGCGACCAGGACCAGATATACCGCTGTATCAAAGACTTAGTTCTAGTTCTGACTGGACTTGATATGACGCAGTGGAGTCGGTTTATGTACGTTGTGAAATACAAGGCACACAGAGACCTGATCAGGTCGGACTATGCAGAGGCCTACAAGCACCCACTGTACAAATCCAGAGTTTTGCTGGAAAAGAACGTGGCTCCTCTGCACGAAATACTGAAGGAACTTGATGAGGTGACCCTAGAATCGTTCAGAACATTCTACAAGAGGTTCTGGGAGAATGTTGGCTGCAGAGCACTGATTTATGGGAACGTTGTTAGAAAGTATGGCAGAACAGTACAGTCTAGTACTGAAACCAATAGCACTAAGAACACAGATCTCAGAGCACAAAGTAGAGCCCCCCTTTCACCCCACCCTGCAATACCCTACGGGTACCTACTACACTACAACCCCCTACCCTAACTCAGAGGAGACAGCCTCTGTGGCGGACCTAACACTCATCCTGGGACCCACCCCCTGGAACTCAGACACTGTGGAGTCAGGAGAGGAGCTGTTCACCAGGACAGTACTCGCTAGACTCGCTGCCACCTTGTTGTCCGAACCTGCCTTCGTAGAGCTCAGAACCCGGCAACAGCTCGGTTACTCTGGTATACTAATTACAACATCTCCCACTTTGGTATAGACCTACATTCACTATGTGTGGTACAAGGGTAGTGAGCACTCAGCAGTTCACATAGCGGAGTCTGTCCTAGCCTTCCTTAAAAGCTACAGAGAGGAACTAGTCACACTCCTCAAGGAGGGAGATAATACGTCAGCTCATTGGATAAGAATGATAAACTCAGTGAGGCGAGACATATTAGTGAAGCCGGCAACTCAGAGAGCCATGGTGAGCGAGTTAGCAAGTGAACTCTTCTCCCCGGACGCGGAAGCAGACAGAGCTGACATGCTGGTTGCTTCTCTGGAGAGGGCTACTCCCAAAAAACTCCTTGCAGTTTTTAATATGATAATTATAACTTGGAGTCAGGTCTCGGAGAATTATATCCCTGGCTCAGAGTAAAAGTAGGAGGTGGAATTTGGACACCTTTTCAGAGCAGTTCCAGTACTTGGGATTCAGTAACAAGACAGATACTATTCCACCGTTTTTGTACTGGCATTTTTCTTATCTCGGTCTAGAGATGGGAAAATAAGGGCGTGTATATTTGTTAAATAATCTATTCAATGTTTGCTGTGACTTAAATTATTTGTACATTTGCTTCGTAAGTGAGCGATTCTTTCTTTACAAATCAACAAGTAATACCTATTACCTACTGCCTAGTAAAAACAGGAGTGTAACATGCCTGTCATCTGTCCTCCGTAAGATAGCTTTAAGGAATGCCACTATAGTGTGAGGTCGGGGTATGAGCTCTATATCCGGCATTACACCCCTCTCCAACAGCTTCACACACTGCTTTACTTCACGATCATTTCCTGACGCTCGTAGTAGGTTCTTACTCTTGTACCTGTCGAGCAGTTGGGGCGATATTTTCAGCTTTTACCACAACAAATTAGACATTTGGTTGTTGCAAAGTGAACGCACCAAAATAAAAAAATAGCTAATATGCAGAATAAATAACAATGAACTTAAAATTAAAACACAACACTTTGAAGTTTACATTTCTGTTTGAAATAATGTGCTTTAAAACACCTGTACGGTGGCTCAGACACCCGCCATCGTTTCTATTTTAATAATTGAATTGGAATTTCCATAGCACAAACCCGCCAAGAGCCGTTATTAAAAATTGATTGAAGGAAAAAAAATGTTCAAAACCGGTTTCCATTTAAACATTGAATCGGAATTTCAATGGTTCAAACCTCCATGCCCGTTTAAAATTGATTTGGAACAAACCAAGTTCGAATCTGATATCGAATTTGGATATTGAATTGGAAATTTCATGCTCAAACCCGCCATCGTTTTCTATTTTAATATTGAATCGGAAGTTCATGGCTCAAACCTGCCATGCCGTTTTAAAATTTATTTGAAAAAAAAACCTGTTATTAGAGATAAGATATTCAAAAAAAAAACCTGTTATTAGAGATAAGATATTCAAAACAAGAAGCAGCAGCAGTGAGTTTCACAGAGCCCTCGAACGACAGACTCCTCGTTCTGTCTACCCTTTCAGCTCCGCGCTCTCTCCTTCATGTCGACCCGGAGAGCTTGGTTTATTTTTTGGATCCAATCGTTCATTTCTTGCCGGTGTGGAGTCATGAGGTGGTATGAGCGTTTACCTGGCTTTCCTGTACAGATACCTTACATTATGCTACTACCTTAATGCGCATTTTATATAAGTTGAAAGCAGTTGAAAGCATGAATTCTTTGAAATCCTAAAATTGCTAAATTATTTTACATCGTACCTTGTAGAGTTAAACAGGGGCCAGATATTTTTGTTGAAACTGCAGCGAAAGCCAAGTCACTAAAACATATTATTCCCTGTGGGATAAAGGTAGCTAATTTTGATTAAATTGTTCTAAATACTTAAATATGGGTTTTATAAAAAAAAAAAAAAAACTTGGGGGGGGGTTTTTTTTTTTTTTTTTTTCAGGCCTGTTAAACTTTCTTACACTTCCAGCTCTCAGAGTCAGTATTTACTCAGTATGAAATGTGAAACCCAAGAATGTAAGCTTTAAAAAGACAGTAGCTTACAGCGGGGGGAGGTTTAGCCTCCACAGATCTGTAATACACAGCCCTGTCTGAGTGCAGCACCAGGTACCTACTGTTCCAAAACTTTCCACCGGAGGACTCCTTCTTCACCACTCCTTCCTTTATACTGCCCTGAAATTCACTAATCAGTGGTTACTAGTGGTTACTCCTTCTTCACCACTCCTTCCTTATACCGCCCTGAAATTCACTAATCAGTGGTTACTAGTGGTTACTGGTGGTTACTAGTGGTTACTCCTTCTTCATCGCTCCTTCCTTTATACTGCCCTGAAATTCACTAATCAGTGGTAACTAGTGGGTACTGGTGGTTACTAGTGGTAACTAGTGGTAACTAGTGGTAACTAGTGGTAACTAGTGGTTACTAGTGGTTACTCCTTCTTGGATCGCTCTTCCTTTATAACTGCACAGAAAGTTCACTAAATACAGTGTTACTAGTGGTTACTGTGGTTACTAGTGGTAACTAGTGTTACTCCTTCTCATCGCATCCTTCCTTTATACTTGCCCTGAATTCACTAATCATGGTAACTAGTGGTTAACTGGTGGTTTACTAGTGGTACTAGGGTAACTAGTGGTAACCTTAAAAAAAAAACAGTGGAACTAGTGGTAACTAAGTGGTTTTACTAGTTGGTTCCACCTTCTTCACCACACTTCCCTTTATACTCCCTGAAATCACTAATCAGTGGTTACTAGTGGTTACTGTGGATACTAGTGGGTAACAGGTGGTTACTCCTTCTTCCAACACACCTTCCTTATTTGCGCTAAAATTCACTAATCAGATGGGTTACTATGGTAACTAGTGTAAATAGAGGCAACTAAGTGGTAACTATGGTAACTAAGTGGTACCTAGTGGGTTACACCTTCTTCACCAATCCTTCCTTTATACTGGCCCTGAAATTCGCTAATCGGAAAATATCTCAGAAACTGTATCAGTACGTAACAGCTGAATAACATACTGAAGTACCATGAGAAGCAGTTGGAACGATTCTGGGAAATGGAATACACAAAAATAGGCTTCTGCGCGAATTACATGAGGACACTCACCTCACCCACATCTACAAAGCTTACCTGTATTTTATTAGGCTTGAGTATCTTGCCGAGGAGTGTTATCGTCACTGTTCCGAACAAATCTGGTGAAAGTATAAAGTAAGATATATACTAAGAAGTCTACGAGGCAGTGCAGATATCAGTCCGAAAACAAGTACTCTTAAGTCCTGTATTAGAGCCATGTTGTCGCAACCTTCCCCATAATTAATTATACTTACAGAAACTATAATATCACTAGCCACAAGCAATTTTTTTCAAACCAACCCTTTTAATCTAATCATAATGAAAGTTATTTGACAGAAAAAAGTTGAATTTGCTTGGATACTCGAATCGTAATCGGCGGCGTTGGAACAGTGAACACATAAACTGACAGCTCAAGCCGTTTTACATTGGGGGTTGTAGAGGAGCCTCAAATAACCTACCTTCCCCTCCATCTAGGTGTCTTGGATTCAGGAGTAGTACTGTTTGGAGCACGTTTAGGAGTTCGCTTAGGAGACTCTGCTTCAGGGAACCTTTTGGAACTGTGTTCTGGGGTAGAGGTGAGGTGTGAAGTAGAAGAGCTCGTTCCGTTCAGTAGCAATAACGTTTCGATAGCTTCTTCGTCACTCATGTCCTGAAATTTATAGTATAAACTAATGATTTCCTCCGCTATAAACAATGTAGTTGGATGAAGATAGCGTTTTTTTAAATCAACCAAATTAAAATTCAGTAGCTCCAGTGGCTCTTAACCTTAACACAGGAAGGTGGGAATGTTCCTGATCTCTTATTACAGATACCCTCCCACCAAACATTGCTTGTTTTATCCGTTACTTGAACTATATCTCCAATAGATAAACTCAGATTATGGGAACCCGCTGCTTCGAAATCTTTAACTGCTTTTGCGAAGGTGGTTCTTGTAACATTTAGCCTGAAACATTCCAACTTTTATAAGTGTCTGAATATGTCACATACCTTAAATCTTAATGTCTATGGTTTCATCAGCTGAAACAGCGAGTAACTAAAATTTTGTTGTCAAACACTAACAGTCGACAGGACCTATAATTTTACAGCTGCCTTTCTGCTGGAAATAAAGCGGTGAATTTTTGATTTGTTAACAAATTATGTAAGCGGCTTAAATATATAAAAGTAGCCGATAAGGTAGAATTATAAAACTGTAATATCATAGTTGAGCTGAAAATGAGAACAATGTACTTTACTACTAAACTTACTGTACTACTAGGTCGGAGACTCGGAACTAACAATGTATAACTTGTAAAATAAAAACTAACGCAGTTAAGCTAGTGCCAGCTAGTTCAGTTCCGCTGTTGATTGAAATGAACAAGTTCCTCTTAGACAAATCTCCTGCTCTTAAAGACGTGTTATCAGATATAACACCACCACCCTCCATCTGAAATAAGTGGCGGGTGGCGTAAAGATGGCGGCATAGTGGCGACAAAGCGACAATATCTCTATATATCATTATTCTTCAACCACTCACGGTGAGCATGATAGATTTAGGGTCTCTTCTGATTTTAACCCCGAGTTTTTTGGTGATGCACTTTACTGTAGCCAGCCTCATCGTTTCCAACACTATATCCTGATAACGAAACAACAGATACAGTTAACTTACACTATTATCTATTGATCGTGTCTAAAATCTGACATCAATTATGAATCAATCCAAAGTGTAACAATCAATCTAAAGTGTAACAATCAATCTAAAGTGTAACAGCTAACCTCCATTTTGCCCAAACCTACGCTGCTACCATCACAATTTGTCACCCTAAACTTTAACGTAACGGACATGGTTGCAGAGTCCTCGTTTTGAGAGTTGTCTCTGAGGTTGAACAGACACGTGGGTAGAGGTCCTCCAGGTCTGAGAGCCATAGACTCAGCACGCTTCAGGGAGATGTTCCCTGTTAAGCGCTCTCTGCATGCCGACACCAACTCACTTACTGCCTGGAGGGGGTTCTTACTGACTCTCTGTTATTTAGGGGATAGTTGTTTACAACTACGTTGACGATCAGGTACATTATTTGAAAAGGAATCAAGGTACCCTCTATATAAAAGATACTATACAGTATATAGGATGGCCTGTTCGAGTGATTTCGGCAGATGATCTGGCGGCAACGTACAGAGTAGATTATCTACGTCAGAACGCAAAAGAAGAAGCAGAGCACTAATCTTCACTCTAGCTACTTTTAATGTCCTGGCTATTACTTCTCCAGTTAAACGGGATGAACTTTTGAGAGATTGCTATTATCGTAAAATAGACATTCTCGCTGTGCAAGAAACAAAATGTCGTCACTTTGAGGATTCAGTTTTGCATTTTACAGATGATGATGGGAAATCACACAAATATCGCTTCATAAACTTTCAGCAATTTGACAATAAGTGGCAAGCAGGTATTGGTTTTCTTGTAAATTCAGTCTATACCAACTACATCAAGTGTTACAACAGTATCAGTGACAGGGTTGCTTATCTAGATCTTGAGATACCAAGTAAATCAGGTAAACCAAGACTTTGCCGTGTTATCAATGCCTATGGACACACTCAAGTAAATTGTGATAAGTATCCGCAGAGACGTGATTATTTCTACAAGTTTCTTGGCAAAGCTGTTGATATCCCATCAAGTTGGGACTTATATATTCTTGGAGATTTCAACTCTCGACTCGGTAAATTGTCTCATTCAGATATTGTTTTCGGGTATAATGACTTTATGGGTATGTATGGGTCTGGAAAGAGGAATTCAAATGGAGAGCATCTTCTTAATTTTCTTGTTGATAAAAAACTTTTTGCTTGCAACACTAGCTTCCAGCACCCTGTCCGTCATATAACAACAAGAATTGGTTTTATGAAAGACTACTCAGCTCCTAAAAACTCACATCGCACTTTGCCCTACTACTCTCAAATTGACTATGTCCTATGTAGCAGTCGATTGAAGAAACTTTTAGTGAATTCTCGAAGTTATGGGGGTACTCTTGTTAAATCTGATCACAAAATTGTTATTACACGTTTCAACTTCAGTGACGCTCACCTTGTCTTCCCCAAACAGAAACCTAAAATGCATTTTGATATCACAACCCTTGTCAGTAATCCTGCTGCTAAAATGCATTACAACAACACATTGAATGATATTCTAACAGACAGCCCTGTTAATCCTAACCCTGAGGAAGAAATGAATAGTTTGTTTCACAATGTACATAAAGCTGCTGAGGTTAGTATTGGATACCTTCCTAGGAAACGCCCTAAAAACTTTTGTAATGACCTTGAAATTCGAGAGATGTCTGATGAAAAGAAAGTTCTACAAGCTCTACTCAATCAGAACAACACCTCTGAAGATAGATCAGTTATACGTACCAAAATCAATCGTATTCAAAATGACACTCGTAAGAGAATCAAGCTCCTTCAAGAAGAGCATGCAGACACTCTTGCTGAAGAGATAAACGAAACTGATAGTTCTAGAGCATACTTTGCAGCCACTCGCCAACTAGCAGGTATCAAACGTGCTCCAACCATAAGTGTGCATGATGAAAACTCTAACTTCATAGGTACAGACACTGGAAAAGCTGCTACACTAAAGAACCACTTTGAAGAGAAGTTCACTGCAAAACATACAGTTGAGCCTATTGACACTTTCTTTGATCAACCTAGTCCTCTCGCTGACCCTATTACTGCTATTGAAGTTGAGATAGCTGCTAAAGCTTTGAAGAATGGTAGAGCCACTGGGCCTGATGATATCCCAAGTGAATTGATTAAGTATGCAAACAGAAGTGTATTTCAGAAATATGCAGACTGTATAAATACCGCATTTGAAACAAACACCACCATAACATCTATTGGAAAAGGCAACATTACTCCACTCCAAAAGCCTAAGAAACCACTTGGTCCAGCAGCAAACATCAGACCTCTCACCCTCTCAAACTGCTCCAGAAAATTACTGTCAATGATTACCCTAAAACGTATCCAAGGCAAGCTAGATCAGTACACCGGTCCTACACAAAGTGCTTACAAGAGAGGTAGAAGTTGTGGCGATATAATTTGGTCTCAACGTATGCTAACCTCAGTGGTACTTAGAAAGCATTGGAGCTACCACAGAATGAGTATAGACATGTCAAGTGCCTTTGACACCATAAGCAGAGAAACAGTACTCAATGTTCTTGAAGATGCTGGCTGTACTAGTGATGAAATTAGGATGGTACGGCTCCTACTATCAAACACAGTGTTGAAAGTAAAAGTCAATAATACTGTATCAATTGAGTTCCAAAGCACAACTGGAGCATTTCAAGGAGATGCACTATCAGGTAATCTATTTACTGTTGTTGAAGCCGCTGCACTTATTCACCTCAGATCTTTACTCTCCCAAGTATCATCAACACCTTACCCAGTGAATCATCCAATCCCTAATCCTCCTATCTCAGAAGAATTCATGCCATTCGAAACAGGATACTCTAATGATATTGACTTTAATAACACTGAACTTGCTCCACTCAAAGAAATGCTTCCTATCGCTAAAGATATATTGCGGCAGTGGGACCTTCATATCAATTCTTCCAAGACTGAATTTGTCCATTTTTATTTGGCAGATCCTAAACCCACTGTTAAACGCAAGGTGATTGTTGGAAAAGTGTATAGAGGTGATGAAGAGTGGCGCTCTAACAAAACTTTAGGATCGTTGATGTGCACTGTTAAGGATATCAAGAATCGAATATTCCTTGGTAATGTTGCCTTTAGTAAATTTCAGAAAGTTTGGATGAAGAGCAAGATGTCAGTCCAAAGGAAGATCAAAATCTACGGGGCACAAGTAGTCTCTATTCTACTCTGCAACTGCAACTCCTGGGCTGCACCACTAGCTTCGTTGAATGAACTTGATATTGCTCATCGCAAACACCTCCGAAGAATCCTCAACATCAGATGGCCTACTGGGGTTATTTCTAATGAGGCACTCTATGCTCGTTGTTATGTCACTCCCTTGTCTGTGAGAGTCTCTAAGTTTCGATGGAGAATGTTAGGACATATCTTAAGAGGACAGGAAGACTCACCAGCATACACCTCTATGTTATTTGCTATAAATTCTGATATTTTTATGGAAGGGAGACGGGGTAGACCATGTTTAAACTTATTAGATGTTATTAGAAAAGACTTGACTAGTAGAAATCTTGATATTAGACTTAAGAATTTGACTGATTTCGAAGACCTTAGATTTTTAGCTTTAGATAGGGAGGAGTGGAAGAAGTTAGAAGATGGTTGATGTTTTTGTTTTCTTTTTTATGCGTTTTGATATCTATAAGGTGCCTAGGATGCTCTTTTTTTTATTTTTATCTAGACACTTATTTTACTTCGGAGTATTCCAACAGCCATATTGTTACACAAGTGCAACCAGCCAATTACAGGAAGCCGAAGGATTTGTTTTTAGCCAGTGACGGTTAAGGTAGTGTGTACCATACTTTCTTCGCCCGAGACTTCGCTGCAATGTGCAGCTCCTCATTTAACCCTCACACCCGATTTCTCGAGTATTCGGCTGAGTAGACCGGGGGGCTGCATAGACCACTCACGATCCTTAGCTGAATGTCAAAGACACTCACCCCACGACCAGGCAAGCAGTGGGATTTGAACCCGCAATCTCACGATTGCAAAGCTGGCTAACCAACTGCGCTACCTGGCCTTTAAAGAGATATTTCGTACTTTGAAAGATTTACTACTATACAGTATACACAAGGTAACATCAACGCGGGTCGAATGAAGAATTATCCTAATAATATGTCTAATCCTGGATCTCCATTATTCATCTCAATATTTACCTCTAAGAGAGCTGAAAGAACTGACACCACATTCGAGTCACTCTCAGAGTCACTCCCAGGGACGTTCTTGTTACGGAAATAGCGCACTAGCTTCTCCGTAAAGGAAAACACCTGCGCCACAATTATTATTTAGTCGGAGCTATGAAGTATAAAACACATCGTACTAAGTTAGGCGTGTGATAAAAATAAATAGGTTTTGTGCAACCCTTTTGCGATCAAGATCAGAGTTAAAATATCAACCAAGAAATAACCTGGGCACGATAAGGAAACCTATTGACGAACAACCTATCCTCAATGTCCAGGAGAGAGGACGCCGTTACCAGGATACGAACAACTTGTTCACTTTGTTGGGCGGGTGCCAGGATGTGTACTGTTTGTTTGTACTCTGTCAGTAGAGTGTGGTGGGACTTGCAGAACAAAGCATACGCCATCTCCAGTACTGGGGTCATATTGTTAGTTGGGTTGGGGGTTCAACATATTGTTAGTTGGGGGGAAAGGGTCCAACACATTGTTAGTTGGGGGGGGGGGGGCAACACATTGTTAGTTGTTGGTTTGAAATGTGCTTACAACGAATCAGATATAGTTCACATGAAGAAAATAACTAAACTAGAAACCTGTATCAGGATTGCTCAAAGTGGGGAGGTAAACTCGCGGGCTCCTCCTCGTAAGAAAGTTCGAGAACTTCCTGACAAGGTCCACCTCCTGGAGAGGGACCCCCCTCTCAGAGCCCCCCTCGCTCTCCTGTCTCAGTCTCTTGTTAGTGTACCAGTTCACCAGTGTCTCTGAAACCGCCCCCAGAGACTTTGCTATCTCTACCAGGTTAGTACGGCTACTCTCATCTATTGCTGGGAACATTTATCACTTCAACAAGAGAGTAAATTACAAAAGCTTAAAAGCTTATATTATCGTGGAAAAAGTAAAAGCGTTTCTTAAAATTGAATAGTGCACTTTAAAATAAAACTTGTTTAACCATTTGAGGACGGACAAGTTTTAAAGTTGTCGATGTTGATGCATTTAACACACTAGGTCACTGCCACAGCTAAAAAGAGATATCCAAAAAAGTAATTTGTATCTCGTTTAATTTAGACCCCCACAAAGATAAGCTATGGTCGCATTACGACACACTCGTCCGGGTGCAAACGACCCATCACGTTTTTCCGGCTATTATTTCTGAAACAAAGACGTTAGGATAAAATACAAACTGTAGCATAAGATAAAAACATATTGCCGATACTGTGTGACTCAATTATTACTACATAATATGTGCATGTATATTCTTGAATTCGGTCTACTTAAAACTTTAAATGGATGAAATAGAGCATTTATATCCCGCTTATTCAACATTAACATCCAATATTATTAAAAATAAAAAACTGCTGGACTTCAAAGCGGCTGGCGTGGTGACAAAGTGATAATTTAAACTCCTGAATGCATGTATATTCCCAGTAAATGTAAAGTGTAATGAGTTCAATAAAAATATGAAACTTGCCCAAAAATTTGTATATCTATTTTATTGAAATTTAAAGAATTAACTATTATTATATCACTCATCTTTCTCATCAATTTTACCAGTCCTGATAAAAATAAAACGTTTATTAGGATTTTCGTGACTTACTCTTCAAATTAGAACCAGCTGGTTATGTACTGCACGTCCTCCGGCGACTGATCCGGTGAATAAAGACAGTTTTGAAAACACTGAGACAGTCTAAGTTCTTAGCTTTTATCAGTATCTGATGAAGGTGCTGAGAGCTTCCAAATGTTACTTTGACAGCTCTATGTTTTTCAGAACTTTATTCCAATTCGAGCAGCTTCTCTGCCATTTTTTCAAATCACATCGCAAAAAAAAAAAAAATTTTTATCACCATATTTCTTCTCCTGCATACCTCTTGAGGGGGGACCAAAAATCAACACATTTTGCTGCGATCCTCTTCGGCTACACATTCTGAACTACTTTCTTCAAGTTCTCTGATGTGAAAGTGGAGGCAGAGCTGGGGGATATGTTTTGACACAGCAGCACTGTAAGACTTAATCTAGCTTAAACAGTATTTTCTACAGCGGTTTTAACAGTTCTCTGGACTGATTCTAGATCTTTAGTCTTAAATCTTAATGTCCAAGAGTTCCCCTTGCAACTGAATAACTGATTTCTGAGCATGTCACTTTTCATTTCCTCTCGTTTTGTTGTCGCTTTTAGAAAAGCTTCCTTATATGCAACAATACCCTGAAACACATCAAAAAGGTGCTTTACTAAAACGTCCTTGTATGGTTTCTTGAACTTCTCTAATGTAAAATGACTATCTTCATCACAGTCTATTGTCTTCATCACTTCCTCAACCCAAAGACCAAGATCATTGGCAGCATCAGCAATCATGTCCAAATGAGTCATTAGCGACCCATTAGGACCACAAAATTGATTAATAAAACACATTGTTGTCAAACTTTTCAAAATATGAGTATAAAAACATGTTATGCCTTGACGAGATAAAAATTCCAAGATTTATTGAATTTGCATTTTTATTGTTGCATATATATGTTAATTTTCCACTTAACTCTATTGCAAGTTTATTCTTATTATTATTTGTACCCTTGCACAATCTAATCATTGAGGATAAGACCGAGTTTGTCTGTCTATTTCTTGCTTCTCCGATCGAATTAGATAATAGCGGTGCTTTATTGAAAAAATGATCCCTGGAGGTCCAGTAAAAGTCTTGGGTCGCAGACTGACATTAAGCATAAAATCGTCTTCGCAAATTCCACCTTTAATAGATCATTTGGCTTGAAAATATGATCTTACGCGACGTAGACAGGATTTTCTGCAGCTCGGCCTCCTATATTTACGTTGTTTTATTTACGTTGTTTTATAGTTTTATTAACGTTGACCACGTTTTATTTACGTTGACCACTCTTTGATTTCACAGACTTTTTAAGTACACATACACTCACATTCCACATTCACAAGCATGTGAGCTCACCTGGTCCAATGAGCGGAAAACGAATAGAGAACAAGCTCTGATGACGTCATAGTCACGTGACCTCAGGCTCATAATCACGTGACATCAGACCCAATCAATGGTTTCTGGCCTGGTCAGCTCCCTGTTACCTGATCTTGAGGTGACGTACGAAATAGGGTTGCCAATGTATTTATCGGTATAATTTGTTTATCGCGATAATCGATAACTTTTTCAAAATTATCGCGATAATATCGGTTATCGGCGATAAATTTGGCAAGATAATAGAAGTAATATTTTTCTGCACTCTGCATAGTGAATTATGCTCCTATGCTATATAACCATGTTACATCATTATTATATAGTTATAGTTATATAGTTATATGATATCATTAATTGAATTTAATTTCCAAAAATGCAGAAATATTAAGTCTTGAATCATGAAAAATCCTTAATAAAATTAATTTCGGTAAAATTCGAACTTCGAAGATAAAAATAGAAAACTTTGATATACATCTGCATCTAGAATACCGGGGTCCGAGTAGAACGTTACCACCGATACGAATGATGGTGGAACCGCATGATATTGGTACTGATATGTAATCTATTAATGACGTGGGCTTTTCGCTAGCATTCAGGAAATCGTTGCCCGCAACTTATGTCGCATAGCAACCGTGGCCTCCATGAAGTTTAAATGGCCCAATAAAGGCCAGAAGTTAATTGGAATAATTTCCAATTATCACGACTAATTAACTTAATTATCTAATTGTTAGTTACTCATTAGGCCCATATTCCGAACTAAATAATGTAGCCCAATAGATTTTGAACATCCGTGCATAAAATTTGTGTAATCAAATATTTTGGTTTGTCATCTATAGCCTCTAGAAAAGATGGGTCGTAAACGACCCTATCGTCCCTAATGGGTTAATCTAAATAAGACCTCGTTTGAAGTTTCCTAAAACACTATAAGGTGAACTACTCACCACTTGACCGGTCTACATCCTCACTAAGAGTAACAAGTCTCGACAGAACCAGCTGGACACGTTCTTTAACAGGAACAGGGGCTCCACTCACTAAAACCTAGTTTTATAAGTTTTAAGAGCGAGAAATAGAGTTGGCAATCAACCTATCAATGTTGTCAAATACTTTTGCAACATTAAATTAAGTTATCTCCTAAATAATATTTAGTAACTAGTGGTAACTGGTGGTTACTGGTGGTAACTAGTAGTAACTAGTGGTAAATAGTGGTTACCTGCATGGAACTGAAAAGTCCAATGGTTATCCAGACAGTTTCCTCGTACACCTCACACTTCACAAGCTCCTCTATGAGCTTCTTCACTCGTCCACCCTCCATTTGAGCTTCTTCTATCGCTAACATCTACAGGCTGTAAGTTACATAGTTTACTCATTTGTTTGTGTTTACAGCTCGATGAATATTATATTTCTAAGTATAAAACTGAGTGGAGTTGGGTTAAAAACATATAAGAGATACGATGATTTAACTTGTAGTATAAAAACTTAATTTGTATTATCTTCCACTAAAATTAGACCGAAATTAACATTAGTGATTAGTAAAACGACCATTTTAGTAAAACAACACCTTGAAAGTTGAACCTTTAACATTTTTCTGGTTCTCTCCATTTTCTTTGCATTCCATGGATTAATCAATGACATGCCAGATTTCGTGTTCGGTTCAAATTACTCATATTATATTTGCGTGCCGCGCAAAAAGTGTGGCACGCGTCATGCTTTCATCATTAACGAGTCGCGTGGAGATCGCGCTCAGGAGTTTATATTTATAAATCCACGCTTCGGCAACATTTGGGAGAATTTAAAGATAATAATAATTGTAACAAAATTAAATTTCCCGCCTTTCCTTCAAGAAGTCAAAATTTTTCAAAGTTTTTCTGGAAACTAATTTTGTTCATGTTTCATGCTACCATGATCATAATGAGCCGAAAATATTTTTTTGGTTTTCGAAGTCCGCACATACATACATTCGGAAGACTGTGGATGTGATTGTTTTCTTATACCTATATAGAAAACGTGATATTTGGCCCGCAGATTTGAAGGAAAATACGCGAATTTGGTCCTCAGATTTAAAGGAAAATGCACGATTTATCGCGGACAGGTCCCAGGAATCATTCTAGATAGTTCCCAAAATTTCTGACGTCAGCAAAATCCACAATTACCACTTATTTACCACTTTTTACCACATTGAGTTTCCGCAAATAAGTCAACCTCTGAATATCTTAGAAAATTATAGTTTAAAGCAGTGTGGTTAGAAAACAAAGAAGAACAACTTTTTCTTTAACAACTTTTTAATAAAGAAATTATTATGAGCAATGAGGATGATCCTTGCCCAACAATTTGGTTCGGTTTTTATCATGCAGTGGTTATCTTCTAATCACTCCGTCTTCGAGTGCATAATGTGCATGAGTCGGCAACTGTGAACAATTTGCTGTTAGCAAAAGACCCCTTGACCTTAAGAAACTGAAATTTTGAAAAAAATTTTGTTCCGTAAGACGCAAATATGCTGTGGGCCTGGCCCATTAAGAGAGATGCCCAATGAAATAGATCATTCTTCAACTCTTTAGATGTTTCTGGACTCAAAGTAAGTAAGTATTTTCATCGTTCGCTCGGCAAGAATCCGTTTTTCAGCCATATTTCCGAAAATGAACATTTGAAGGTATATAATGTTGCTTCATTAATTGTATATAAATGTGACCATTAGGTACAATTTGGTGTATCTGAATAGGTAGTTTTTACGACCTTCCTAGGCAGAAATGTCGAAAATCACGGAAATTATGAACTGCGTCAAGCCAAAAACCGTTTTTCGGCCATATTTCTGAAAATATGCATTATAAGGTATATGTTGCTTTATAAATTGCATTTAAATATGGCTATTATGCACATTTTGGTGTAACGGAATAGTTTCTACGATCTTCTTGGGCCGAAATACAAAAATCCGAATGACTGCAAAACCCTAGAAAAGGGTGTGGCCGAAAACGCCCTCATTGCATTTGGTGCCAAAATGCAATGAAGGCCAAATGTTTTAAGCGTCATCTTGAGAGGTGATAACCGTCGAGAAATCGCTTTTAACACGAAAAGCTAACGAGTTTCCGTTTCGTCTCGGACTAATTTGCACAGTTTAATTTTAAATCGTTACTTGGTCCAAGTTTAATTGACAAAACTGGAATACTTATTCATTATTAGTCACTATATGTCACTATAGTAGTCTATATTATGTTCCTTGTCCGGGCTTACTTTAAGTCAGTCACGTGGTCGATAGTTGAGTGTAGACTTTAGAGTGATTAATCGTCGTTCTTCGTTTTGTATGTTTCTCAGACGGACAAATGCTGATTCGGTTGCTGAATTAATTATATTAAGCTTGATTTCTGTCCCTGATCGCAATCATAAAAGTATCGCAATTTGGCTGCCTCTGCTGTTTATCATTATAATATTTATTGTTTATGTAGAGGTGAGGAATGGGGCATTCAAAAATATAAATATTTCAGATCATATCACATATTATGGGTATCGAAGAAAACTGGGGATCCTTCGTCAACATGACTCTTGCAAAGGCGGAATCGCACGGAAAAGTAGCGCAGTATTGGGACAGGATGCACAACATCATGAGTATGGCTCTCATATTCCTATCTGCAGCAACGAATCTGTCCACGCTGCTCCCCATCTCCCACTATGTTGGAGCTGCTCTGGGGGCGGTCACTACTCTTCTATCTGCTATCACTGGCTCTTTGAACCCTAGTACGAGAAGGCAAGAGCAGATGGAAGCTAGTAGGGGGTTTAGAGCCCTGATGTTGAAGATGCAATGGTGAGAGTTGAGTTAGAGAAAGATTACGAGGATCTGTGGAAGGAATACAACAAAGAATTGCTTGGAGAACCTTTCCTTCCCTCAAAATTCAAGGTAAAAGACAACACTGCATTCTCCATGTCACCCGAGTTCCAGATAGTGGTAGCCCAGAAGAAAGCTGAAGTTGGAGAGTGTTTATCGAAGATAGGTGAAGAACACTCGGAGGATAACTGTCTTGTCTATCAGTCACCTATGTCTGAGGAAATAGATCTGGAAGTGGAAGCTGACATTGAAGAATGATGATAAATCACTCTACACTCGACTGTCACGTGACTTTTTAAACACGTTCTGTAGCTGGCCGTGAATGGCTATTCGAAATCCTAGCCCTCTAATGACTAATCTGATCCCAACCCTAACCCTAACCAAATCTTTAACAAAAGCATATGCTGAAACCCTAACTCTAACGAGAAATTAGACAAACTTTCTTATTATACGGTCATATCAGTAGTCAATGACTAAACAGGGTTATTGAAAATTACAAAGAATAAAATGGCGTCTGGACTTGGGACCAGCTCATATATCGCCAGGGGAGCATTTTGACCCTATATCATGGGGTCATGGGGGTGATTCGGAATCAGCCTCCAAAAATACATCGATTCAGGTTGGTCTCAACTGTCGGGGGCCCTTTTAGAAGTATCTCGAAGATCGACTGTAGAGTGACTAAGCACGTTCGGACATTGGACTTAAAACAATGTAATTTGAAGCATTTGAAACCACTTATAAGATACATATTTATTAAAATATGTAGTAAGATAGAAGAACACGGGGCTATTTAGACGAACCCCTTGATGAATGATGATGATCAATTTCTGTATTTTATCGCCAGACTGTCCCGTCCCCCGAAGTAAGGGTTCGAGCATATTTTGAGCCATATGTCGTGGTATGTATTACAGCCATGTATAAAATTATCATATGCATGATCTACATTCTACATTCTACATTACCCATTTATAGTTTACACATTAGTCATGTTTACTTTGTTCATGTTGCAATATTAAAATGATTTGATGTGTTCATTTCTATGTTTATCGACAAAGTTTTACTTTTTTCAACATTTATATTATTCTAAAAACGAGTTGATGTGTATTGTGTTAGGATCAAGAATATGTTAAGAAATATAAATATGACCTTATTAGTCACGTGCTATACCAATGCGCGTTTTAAACTTTGACAGTCTATAAGATTACATTGTTTTCTATCTGTAGGCCGTTCGCCAGCTTGAAGATGATAATAATAATTGTAACAAAAATTAAATTTCCCGCCTTTCCTTGAACATCCTAAACTTGTATATTAAGTATCGATACATTATTAATTTAAGTGCCAAGCAGATAAATACGAAGTAGTTATTTTTTACTTCAAGTCGTTGATAACATTAATCATAATATGCAAACAAAATGGAAATGACATAAAATTATACGATAAGAAATGAATTAAATTATGTGCAATATTGTAACTATGATAAATATAATGCATCCGCTTTAAAACATTAATCTGTTAAAAATAGAGAGTTCGAATATCTGCTAAGACTAAAGACCGTTATAAATAAATAATTTGAATATTCGTGACCACAAACTCATTTAAGGTCCATAAAATAGTCCCTTAATATTATTTGATTGACATCGTTAAACAACAAATATAATCAGTGATATAACCGTAGAAGGAGATGAACTACAGGAATATAGCTAAACAAATCACCTAACAGACTCCCTAAACAGCACGTAAGACAATATCAGTGCTGATGAGTGGCACACTGGAATAACGTTAAGTGCTGATTTAAAGAGGGCGCATCCTGAGCTCTGAGAAACACAAATAAAATGGTAAAACTGAGGTTTTCTTGTGACAATGTGAGCGGAGGATGTTAATGTCGTATCTTTACGTGTCGTGACAATGCCTCCTCAGTCTGTGCTCTAAAACAACAACAAGAGCAGTCCAGATACTCGGAGTGAGAGAGGTCTCTCTCCCACTCTCCTGACAGTCTCGGAGACTTGTGCAGTACTCTAATGTGGTTCTCTAAAGCAATGTTAGTGGAGGCTCTGAAACAACACTCCGAGCAATCGTAATAAACCTTCTCTCTCTCCCTAATGAGATGGAGCATTCTGTGGCAGCGAGTGGTAACGTGGTCAGCTAATGCTTCGCTTGTCTTACCTCTGAAACAACACTCTGTGCAATCGAAGAAACTTGGCTCTGTGTCTGAAATGAGAGGGCCACTAAACTCGTACATTTTATACTTATCTTTTTTCTGCTTGTTAGGGTTAGCGGGTAAGCAGGTTATGTTTAAGTCACCATTCCAACAGATATCTTCCGATTTCGTTACATGATGAGTTAGCTCTATTGGGTCTGATTGACCATGAAGTTCAATTACACTTTCTTGTTTAATTGCCTTTTTGACAGATATTGTATCGCTTACTATCACATGTTTATACGGCCTCGTATTATACTGTTCAGGCTCTGACTCAGCAAGTGGTACAGGTTGTTTTTTCAATTGCTCCGGTTTCACTATTACAGTGAGTTTCCTCCTCTTCCTCTCACGCAAATGTGACAAAAACAATTCCTCAGATTGGAAAGCCTGGCCACAGAATCCACATCTGAATCTGTGAAGAAAACTGTCTTTCGCTGTCTCGATAAGATTGTGAGATTTGGTTTTATTGATTTGATCAGATTCATTTCCACAATATCTACGTATCATACCAGTCTCACCACTATGATCATACATGTAGATTGTAGCAGTCTTCAACCTGGGCATTCATAAACTAGTTACTGTATTTAACAGGTCCAAGATGTCACGTATACAGTTTTAAGATAAACATCAAATTTTTAACAATAGAAAAGTACAAGACAATCTCAATTTTTGAAAAATGCATATTTACTGTTTTTTATTAGCAAATACACTATGATAATAACAATAGTGGAATAACAAAATAGGCAACTGCACTACATCTTGATTCATAAAATAATAACAAACAATAATCGCTCCTCATAGTATACAATTAATCTTCGAAATTATGACATAATTTCGAAGTTTTAATTGTATTATAATTAAGAAAGCTAGCTTTTACTAGTAAGAGAATTCCGAAAAACAGAAAAAAACAGTAACCACATTAGTATGTAAAAGGATGATTCGGAGGATAGTATTTCCGTATCATCAGTAATATGCTGGCCTGCTGTTATTTATTTTAATGACAGCTCTATTATGGTCACCTTGTTCTGGTTATTAAATGACCATCACCGTTCCTCAAGTAATGAATTATAAAATACAGAATGCTGTAATTGAAGATGTTTCCAGATCCCTGGCACTGAGCTGACAGTATACTCACTCTCCCCCTCACCTGACAGTGTCTCCTCACTCTCCCTCTCTCCTGACAATGTCTCCTCACTCTCCCTCTCTCCTGACAATGTCTCCTCACTCTCCCTCTCTCTTGAGAATGTCTCCTCACTCTCCCTCTCTCCTGACAATGTCTCCTCACTCTCCCTCTCTCCTGACAATGTCTCCTCACTCTCCCTCTCACCTGACAGTGTCTCCTCACTCTCCCTCTCTCCTAACAATGTCTCCTCACTCTCCCTCTCTCCTGACAATGTCTCCTCACTCTCCCTCTCTCTTGAGAATGTCTCCTCACTCTCCCTCTCTCCTGACAATGTCTCCTCACTCTCCCTCTCACCTGACAGTGTCTCCTCACTCTCCCTCTCTCCTGACAATATCTCCTCACTCTCCCTCTCTCCTGACAATGTCTCCTCACTCTCCCTCTCTCCTGTCAATGTCTCCTCACTCTCCCTCTCACCTGACAGTGTCTCCTCACTCTCCCTCTCTCCTGACAATATCTCCTCACTCTCCTTCTCACCTGACAGAGTCTCCTCACTCTCCCTCTCACCTGACAGTGTCTCCTTACTCTCCCTCTCTCCTGACAATGTCTCCTCACTCTCCCTCTCTCCTGACAATGTCTCCTCACTCTCCCTCTCTCCTGACAATGTCTCCTCACTCTCCCTCTCTCCTGACAATGTCTCCTAACTCTCCCTCTCTCCTGACAATGTCTCCTCACTCTCACTCTCTCCTAACAATCCTAACAGTGTCTCCTCACTCTCCCTCTCTCCTGACAATGTATCCTCACTCTCACTCTCTCCTAACAATCCTAACAGTGTCTCCTCACTCTCCCTCTCTCCTGACAATGTCTCCTCACTCTCACTCTCTCCTAACAATCCTAACAGTGTCTCCTCACTCTCACTCTCTCCTAACAGTGTCTCCTCACTCTCCCTCTCTCCTGACAATGTCTCCTCACTCTCCCTCTCTCCTGACAATGTCTCCTCACTCTCACTCTCTCCTGACACCACAGTTGGTACCCCTCATGGGTGACCAAGATGACATGAAGCAACTATAAGACTCCGAGTGTCTCCCCCGGATGTGTTTTTTGAGATATGTCCAGTCAGCACCCCGGTACGGACAGTAAGGACACCTCCACAGCTTCTCAGGGAGGTGGATACTCACGTGTCTCTTGTAAGAGCTCTTTATGTGTGAAGAGTAGGGACACTCCCCACACTGATATACGTGTTGTGCACCTCTCTGGTGGCGGGATTTTACAGTTTTCTTAGATGAGGATTTCTGTCCAAGCTTTTCAGATGATTGGACATGCTTTTCTAAATGAATAGTAAATCTTTCGCTGTCAACAAATTGAGAACAACAGAAACTGCAATGATATATTCGACGGATGACTCTTAATTTTCCATTATTAGACAGAGTCCTAGATACATTGGAAGATGATGCAGTATCTTCAGCCATGCAGCTTGAACCAAACCGCCTTTTATATTCCTTTGTATTAGGAACAATTCCACTGTCAGCTCTATCGGAAAAAGGGACGTTAGGTCTCGCACTTCCTTCTTGAATCTGAGGAATCATCTTGTTTCATTGAAAATTTCTTGTTTCATTGATCTTTGCACACAAAATATCTGTGTTTACTGAATTTACTGCTACAGATTGGTTAGTTCCAATAATAAGTTCGAGTTGACCACTTTCAACATCTAATTCACGCTCATTGGTCTCAACTGGTAGTTCACCACGAGTTTCAACATCTACATCATGTCGACTGATGGCATTATTTTCTGTAGTCCTGAGTGACACGTTTCTTGTTAAGAGTTTTCGTTTGCACTGGTGATGTTCCTTTACATGTTCTAAGAAATGTTGCTCATCACTGTACTTAACTCCGCAAAATCCGCACGTGAAAAACGAGCTCTGCTTATTACTTTCCATATCCTTCGGCAGTCAACATCCTCATGAATGGAGACAGTGAGTTACTATCAATCAATTTAATTCAGTAAATATTGATTAATTGAGTTGAATTTATCATATTATTCAGTATGAAGTTTTTAACAGGATATTTAGCACATTTCACCTCACAAATTGAAGTTAGGTTTTCTAAACAATCTGCCATCATAATAGCAACAATGAAGTCTAATGCTCTAATGGTATAGTATAGATTATAGAACTAATAATAATCAGTTCGATACCATTGCTATAGTGTGTTATACTCATATCCTAGAGGCAAGATTAGATTGCGCTTCATCTACAATGTACAAATTGTATATGTACTGCTATCAAGTGCAACAGCTATACTAATAATTACAACAAAATATAATATAATAAAAATGATAAATTTTGAGAGGGTTTGAATACTAAAATATCCTGATGCATCATTTATTGGTCATTCAATAAAAATTCAGTCTAAACAGTGAAATTGGGTCACGGAAAGCTGATAATATCTGAAAATGTCCTACCGGTAGTACATTTTCAAACTTTTCCTTTCATCAAAGTTTCTCCGGATATTCAGCTTCCAGTACCTCAATGGTGACTCGTGCCACTCAACCTGAGCTCAATGATTGGTTGATAAAAGGCTCTTTTCCTTACAATTTGGTTAAGGAAGGTGACAAGGGAAAGTACTTCAAATTGAATAAACCGTTAAGAATTGTAATTACAATATCTCAGTGTTCCTCAATATAATATCTCAATAATTCAAATATCCTAGGTCTTTAACTGTAAACATTAACTGTAAACGTCTGCTGTATTCAAACCAAAAAGTGTCCTGCCATCCAACAGGCCCACTCTTAAATATCCCCAGACAGTATAAACAATCTCCCACTCGTTTTAGCAATCTCTAAACAAATCCCAAACTATCCTCCTCGTAACTAAAACAGAGGTGTTAAAATGCACCCTCTGATAATCAAAACAGAGATGTTAAAATGAACTCTCTGCTCCCCAAAACTCTCTGCTCTAAGCAATTCCTAGACTATCCTCTTTGTAACCAGAACAGAGGTTCTAAAATGCACCCTCTGATAATCAAAACAGAGATGTTAAAATGAACTCTCTGCTCCCCAAAACAGAGGTGTTAAACTGAATTCTCTGCACTACCCTGCTGTACTAAATGTTGTACACTAATAAATGCCTTAAAATACTACGCTAAAATACTGATTAATGTATAGTACTAAAACTGCTAAAACGAGTATATAACATGGTCACTGGTCAAAAATTCAGTCAAAACTGTGAAATTTCGGTCAATTATACAGGGTGGCCCAAAAAGATCCGTGTTCATTATGGAGCATAAAATTAAATATGATTCGTCGTATAAAGAATTGTATAAAGAATTTGGGGAAAGATGGAGATTAGGTTTGAGCACGATACGGCCACTATACTGCCACTATACGGCCACTATACGGTCACTATACGGCCACTATACGGCAACTATACGGCCACGATACGGCCACTATACGGCCACTATACGGCCACTATACGGTCACTATACGGTCACTATACGGCCACGATACGGCCACTAGACGTGTAGCCCAACATTATTTCAACACAGGGTTAAATGGGTTCTCGCTGTGAGTAAACACTTTGTTGATAAGAACCTTGGAAAGAGCCATCATGACATATATCCACCAGCGGGCTATATTTTGTCATCTGAGCACTCGCAGCCCGATGTTACAAGACACAGTGCGCGTCCAGCCCGCTTAACATACAGCACGCGAGCAGACGACATTTAACGTGACAAGTAACAATACAGCCAATATAGCCCGCATGAAATTTGTCCAGTAGCGATATATTTTTGTGTCCGGTAGGGCTGATGATACATCTCGTGAGCAGATGACATGAAATCTGAACACTGAACAGTGTTATTGATCCACACTTACACACTACACAGTACACTTTAATAGTTCCCACGGCAATATGTGGATGGAAAGAATGTATCAACTCTGAACTCTAGCTCTGAGCTCACCTTATATCACGCAGGTTGCCATGATTGGCTCATAATTAACACGTGACACACTGTTACTATGGTTACCAAATTCGTGGAGACTATATGTCTAAGCCGGTGTCACCGGCTTAGACATAAAGTCTCCACGAATTTGAATAACCGGCCCGGTGATATTTTTCAGTATCGATAATTGTTTTGTGTTTACCATTTTCAGTTCACTATTTCAGTTGATAAACCTTGAAATTTAGGCCGACATTTTACGTGTTATTCTATTGTGTTCCCGAAAAATATTTTGCCCTGTTTTTGTTTTGAAACTGCCATTTAAATTGATGTTATAAATTTGATCTTTAACTTTCATATTCAATGTCCATGATCAGACTGTGATCTCGAGCTCTCTGGGTTACTACTTTTGATTGTCCAGTCACTCAGTAGCTGCTACAGAAACTCTAGTAACTGGTTACCCGGGTAACCCTGGTTACCCTGGTAACTGATAATGACAACTCACGTGGTAGTAGCAGCTGCTCTGTGGCGACTGGCGGTGCTTGTTCTGGTTCCAGGGAGGGAGAGAGGTAGAGAAGTAGAGAGGGAGAGAAAGAGAGGGAGAGGAGGAGAAAGGGAGAGGAGGAGAGAGGGAGATGAGGAGAGAGGGAGATAAAGAGAGAGTGATAGAGGGAGAGAGGGAGGTAAGGAGAGTGGGAGAAGGAGAAAGGAAGATAGGGAGAGAGTGAGAGAGTGAGAGAGGGTGAGAAGGAGATAAGGAGATGAGGGAGAGAGGGAGAGAGGGCCTATATTTTGATCGTTTACAATAAAATTATATGTACATGAAACAATGAGCTGAAACATTGTTTGATAGCGGCCGGTTTTTCGTTCTATAGTCAGTCATTTTGGCCTGTTCTACATCTTAAACTAAAAGCAACATGATTTTCTCGTAAAATTTCTGAAATCTTGTACATTAATTTGCTGTGATTGTTGGAAACTGAAGCTTCGTGATAAACGCCCACTTGTGGATATATTACATTGTTGATATATTTACATTTATAAAACTTAGTAAATGATCATCTAATTAGTAGCATTACAACTACACTTGAGAAGCGCCCGCTCATGGATATACACGATATCATTCCTCGCCATGAGGGCGGAACTATCGTATAGCACTCGGGCCCGTTGGGCCCTCCGTGCTATACGAAAATATCTCCGCCTCGGGCTGGAGCCCTCGTGGAGATATAAAATATTGCACGCGCACGCGCGTGCAATATTTAGTACCGCCCTCAAGGCTGCGGTGATATCTATATTTATCCCAAATTATCAATATGAATGTGGACCTTATTTGAGAAGGTTTAATATTTCTGCAGAAGTTCATACCTTAATCTTTTAATTAATTACATTAGGGTCGGATCAGAGACTCGACTCGTCAGTTTTTCCATTTTGTTTGAGGTATTCTGTTTGTTGGTAAATGTTCCATCTCGCACTCAGACTGTAGATGTGGGACTGGTTCAGGACAAGAAGACGCTACATTGCGTACCTCTGTCTGCTTTGCAATGCTTACACTGAAATGTGTGCCAGGTTCGTAAGATAATGAGTATTTTACAAATATTTACCAAAAGAGTGATATCGCAATGTCCTATTCTAAAACTACCCCTAAGATTTTTCAAGTCCGGTTTATTTCACAGTTTTCGTTATTTACTGTGAAACTCCCACTTTGTAACTTTATTTCCTTCTGTTATTAGTAGCAGTGACCAATTTTCTTCTTTTAAATAACTTTATTAACTAGTCACTAATGTTGCTGCCTCTCCTGCTTGCGATGGTCAGTTAAATTTCTTTCCCAATGATGGGCTCTATTGTCTGTTTTCTTTTTGGATTCTAGGAAAGATCTTAGTTCCTTCAACTATGTGCAGTATTCAGCTAAAATTATTCGGGTGTTAATTTGTCGTCATGACTACCACAATGTCTGAAGGATAAGAGCCGCTGTCCCAGGTTTGGAGTATCTATCTCTATGATAGGGGGCATGGTGAAGAAGGATTGTGACGACCCTGATGATGTTGGCCAGTTCTGCTGGTCCCAAAGTACCCAGGCAATGGTGATAGGTGCATATTTCTATGGTTACGTTGCACAGTGCTTCACTACATTTGTTGCAAAATATTTCACTGGTAAGCCATAATTTTAATTTACACTAGTACACACGCTTACCTTACTTTAAAACTTAAATTAATTTTTGCAAAACATTGGAGCTTATTATATAATCGAATAAAATGAAATATAAATAATTTGATGAACGAGCTACGCTGTGAACGATTAAAGAAGTCAAAATCTTATTATGTTCTACAGTAGAAAAACCTACTATGGCCTAAACTATAGATATTTAATAAATTAATTGAATCTAATTATAACTAATTATAACTATCAACTAATTATAACTATCAACTGAAGCTAAATTTTGTCCTGGCTATGATTCAAGGTGACCAAGGGAGCAATAATGCAAGAACAAAAAGAATGCCGGCAACCTTGCGCCAAATATTTACAAATTATTAATTATGAAATTTTGGAAAATTAAAAGTTATTCTCCATCTCCCAGGATTCACAAGAACATACAGATTCTGGTTGATATTATCTGGAGCTATTCAGTTTTGCTACCCAACATTTGCCGCTCTGTCTCCGACAATTGTTATTTTTACTCAGGTTACAATGCATTGTCATATTTGATATTAGAGTACAGCCTTAAATAATATAAAAGCTTTATTAAAGACTAGATGTTAAATCTGCTAAAAGAGTGTCTAGATTTAGTTGTCCCGACCTGGCATGGCTACCTTTCTGTATCATGTATTATTACTGTACTACCACGATATGGATCCAGTTCTAAAATCTGTATTAGCACTTAAGATGATAATAATGTCTTTAGTCTTTACTGGTAAATGATGTCTGACGAAAACATCATGTATATATATATATAGCTGATGAAATAACGAGTCAATTTAAAAATAGTAAATAATTCTCATCAGGCAATAAGAGGTGTGGTGGCTGGTATCATGATGTCCTTCAGTTTTCACTATATCTCTAAATTTGGTATAGGGAAAGAGAGTAAGATTTTCATCTCTCTAGTTGGTAATTAATTTTGTTAAATTTGAAAAAATTAATCCTTCTAAGTTCCTATAGTCGTAATTTTCTTGACTTAGGTGATAAAAATATCGATGATTATATAATAAGTGATTATAATCTAACTCTCAACGCTCTAATACAGGGGCAACAAACTACATTGGGAGTGGGACTGGTGGAGTGCTTGCTGGCTTTATTACAGACATCTTTGGGTGGCAGTACTATTTTTATTACAGTGGCATTTGCTACGCTATTGGTTTGGTTTTAACACTTCTATTTGTTCAAGAATCTCCCGAAAAATGCTGGTATGTGGTTGGTACTTATCACTATAGAATTACAAGTCTTTGATCCAGTGAAACGCTACCAAAATCTGATTTTCGACGACAATGATCACATGATCTTATCTTAAATCGATAATATTTTTGAATTGAAACTTTTGTTACTGCATTTTACATCGGTATTACTACCAGCGTCAAATATCTAAATTAGTTAAAGAGTGACCATACTACGCATTAACTTCCTCCAAATATCAAATTGAACTTTTCTAATTCAAGACTTTTCAGGTTTATGACACTAGAGGAAAAGGATATGATCATGAAAGAAAACAAACCCAGTTTAAAATCAGAGAGCCATGAACCTTCAAGTCCTACAAATAAATTGTCCTTTTGCCGATTGTACTTGATAGCATTTTCCATATATCTTCTTGCTTACAATATAGTTATCTATGGCATTCTTAGTGTAATGCCATTCTATCTTAATGAAATCACTGGAGCAGATCCACAACTCATATCATATCTCAATATCAGCCTCACTTTGCTCATAGCATTATGTACAATAGCATTCTCATATGTGGTTCAAATACTGGACACTTTGTGCTCATGGTTAGTGTGCAGAATGATGTGTACACTAATTCCCATGCTTTCATACATCATTTTCTTTATTGCTCTCTCATACCACCTGTCATTCATAGGTGCGACCATAATTCTAATTTCAACATCAATCATGGCTTCAACACTATTTGGTGGATCTGTTTTCATGATCAACTACGAAATGGACCCCAAAAATTCGGCAGTAAGAATGTCAATTTTCAATAGTGTTGGCCAGGCAGCAGGATTTATCTGCCCTCTACTGATGGCAGCTATTACAACCACTGATAGGGACCATCCAAACTATGCCTCCGTTTACAGACAAAAATGGTCATATTTCTTCTATACTGTGGCAGGATTTGCAGCAGCAGGATGCTTAGTGATAATGCTGGCTTATATCCTTAGTCCTGATGAATGGGTGAACAAAGACAGGAAAATATGCAAAGAGACAGTGTGACAGTTATTAGTGAAATTGAAAGCATAAAATTAAAATGTTTGCTCAACTTAAATTTTGTGTTCAACTGTTTAAAACTGAGGGGCCAATTATCATATTAGGTTTTTTATTATGTTACTAATAATTCGAAAGTTCGTGCAAAGATTTTGGAGCAACATGTTGATTGGCTATGTTGTTATTATTACGTTGTATTAAGTGTTTTGCATTTAAATTTTAAATGGTGATGTCATTATTGAGTATGTCATTAATCTGAACTGCAAAAGTTTATTTGAAGAATATATACATTCAATCAAATCAAGTGTTGCAATACAACATACAATTGGCAAAGCACAATTATACAAAGGTAATGGAAAGAGACCATTCATGCTTCCAATATACAATATTCATGGAACTATACTATCAACAATATGATATACTAGTGTAACCCATGCCTACGGCCGGGACTTCACTATCGCAGTCGAAATGCAAAAGTATAAACCCGCTTATTATATTCGAAAACATGCATGTTACATTTTCGTAGTTAAAACGGTGCGAAAGTATGAACTCGCTCAGTCCAAACAGACTGCAATTTAATTCTGGGTGCCCCTCACATATCTATAATCTAATAGTAAAACTTGATAGCCAATCTTGAGACCTCCACTGCCAAATTACATAACTAATAAAACAACAATTTCAAGAAAACAACAATTTTATTTAGTATCAATTAAAGCAGACAAAAATATATTTCATATTATATATAACTAGCACGAACTTAAGATCAGATATCTTATCCTGTTTTCTTGAAATTGTTGTTTTCTTAGGGGACTTTTGTTTTGAATTTTTAAATTAAAAAAAAAGATAGGCTGGGCCAGATTTGCCCACGAGAGGATAGCATATGGATGCTTTGCCTACCTCTGGGGTATGGCAGTCCTGTGGGAGGATGCCGGTGGAATCAAGATGTGTAATCAAGGATGATGGTAAGTGTTGTGGGGTGTGTCATAGATGAACGCTTAAGTGGTGGTTGAGTGTGGAAGAGAGAGGCAAACTAAGACGACGTTAGAGTAGTCGCTATGTTACACCAGTCTGGTCTTAGGGGACTTGGAGTAGCAAGAGATTGACTAGAAGGTATATAAGTATATATACCTTTTACAAAGATATGTCGAAAAGAATCCAGGGTGATACAGGATCGGAGAGTGCCTGTCACCAAGATGCAGTTAGGCCTTACGCAGAGTTAGGCCTAACTTTGGCAATAGGCCTAAATTAGGCCTAAATTAGGCGTTAGGCCTAACTGCATCTTTTTGACAGTGCAGACCATAAAGTTTACGCACCCACCTTTGCCTCCTGAATTCTTGGTTTGATAGAAATAAATGCAAATTTGGTCATTTATACTCCAAGTCCCTTTGTTAAAAGAAGTAATATTATTTATGTCTGGAGTTAGCTTCATTCAATAGTAACAATATCAATATAATCAATATCAATATCAATATCAGACTAAACTACCGAATGAATTATCAAATATTAATTAATTCGTTTCAATTAAAAAATTTACAAATTAAGATATTTAGTATTTAAAAACATTACAACAAATGGTTAAAAACACCCCAAAATCGATTTGAGAGATTTTCAGTCTATATCACAATCATGATAGTGATAGTGTGTGCCGCTGCAATCTTTATATTGAATTTTTATATAGGGTCATTGCTATATTATGTGTATATTGTTTGAATTTCTCTTCTGTTGTATTAGATTACTGTAATTTAAATTGTTTGGAGACCACGTATCTTTTAAGTCAGCTGCCTGTGCTTGTATTGATACTGCTTTGGTTCTCAATTTTAGTAAGTTAATGGAAGTATCTAGACAATTGCTTGAAGTTTTAAAATTTTTATGAACAGCGTTCCAAAGCTTGGCTGCATTAAACAAAAAGGTATTTAAAATGTAAAGTAAAGTAAAATAAGAAATGAATTGATGGCCTCATAAAGGGAGTATGGGCAGTGGTACTTGTTTGATTTGATTGACAATTTAATGTCAACCCTTCCAGATCGTTGCTTTCAATTTAAAGATCAATTGTAAATCATTTTATTCTTATTTGAGGAATAAGAGAAAGGTTAAAGCTTCGGTACCAAGTTTAGATAAGGAAGACGGTACAAGGACAACTAGTGCAGGGGAGTCTGCAGAGGTACTTGCAAGTGCCTTTAGTTCGGTGTTTGTTAATGAGCCACTCGGCCCATTACCTAGAAGTTATAGTAAGAATACTAATAGTATATCTGATATTGTTATTACCTTTGATAAGGTTAAAAAGGAACTATTAAAGCTTAATATTTTTAAAAGCACTGGCCCATATGGGCATCATCCAAAGCTGCTTAAGTCCCTAGCTGGAGATGCTAGTTTTGTAACAGCTCTTACTAAATTATTTAGTGCCTGTAGTGATACTGGAAATCTTCCGGAGGTATGGAAGTCGGCATCTGTAGTTGCACTTTTTAAAAAGGGCTCTAAGTCTGACCCTCTTAACTATAGACCAGTTTCTCTTACTTGTATTCTTTGTAAAGTTTATGAACAGTTTGTTAGATCCCATGTGTTAGAATTTTTAGAAGACCGTATTTCAAAGGACCAACATGGGTTTGTCAAAGGAAAATCTTGTTTGTCAAATCTTTTGGAGACTTTCGACACTATACTTAATTTAATAGATGAAGGTGCTCCTGTGGACTTATTTTATTTTGACTTTAGTAAAGCTTTCGATTCTGTTCCCCATTTTCGCTTGATTAACAAGCTAGAGAGTCTAGGGATAACTGGTAAAGTTTTAGATGTAATTACAGATTTTATCTCAAATAGAACTATGAGAGTGTGTGTAGAAGGTGAAACTTCAGAGTGGAAGATTGTATGGTCAGGAGTTCCCCAGGGATCAGTCCTTGGACCATTACTATTTGTGTTATTTATTAATGATTTACCAGATAACATTAAAAAAGTTTTAATACTTTCAACACTACTATATAACAAATAATTTGAGGAAGACGTACAATGTCATCTTTTACTGTGGCGCCTTCATCATCTGTCACTAAGGTGTGCCATACATGTAATGTCAAAGCAACTAGAGGATTTTTGTGTCTTGGGCCATGTAAACAGTGGTACCATGTTAAATGTGCTGAACTGAAGAAAAGAGAAGAAGAGGTGTGTAAAACATGCAACGATATATATATAAATGTAAATAAATGTAAACAGTCTGATGTAAATAAAACCAAAGACGATGTAAACATACACAAAGAAACTGACGATAGTGTAATCCTTTGCCCAGCATGCAGCACAACAGCCGATCGTGGAGGGGATGTTGTTGGATGTGACGGTGTTTGTGGAAAATGGTTCCATGTTACATGCCTTACAGAGGGCGATCAAGCAGTTGGTGATGGATATTGGTACTGTTCCTCTTGTTATGGTAAAGAGGCTTTCCCTGGCTTCCCAAGTTTTGTGAAGACAGCTGACTCAACACCCGCAACGTGGGGTTTGCTCAAGGGACCTTTTATTAAAGAGACATTTGGCAATGCCTATGATGAAATAATCAAGTGGAAGAAAAACCTGTTCAAGGTTCCTTCTGGTGCTCAAGGTAAAGCCTATGTGAAAGCGACTTCTAAAGTCATCAACTATTATGTTAATAACTCCCCCCTTCAAAATGTGGCCATGACTGCACTTATGGTTATGCCAGCCCTGCTCCTTCAAAAACCCTCCAAACGATCCAAAACAAAGGACCACGTCAGACATCTTGAAGATCGCCTCAAACTTTGGGAAAAAGGGGACATCAAGGGCCTCATCAAAGAAGGTAAAGCTATTCAGAAGCGTATAACATCAAGCAAGTTTACTCCCCAACATACACACAAAGTATTCTCCAAGCTCATGCTTCAAGGAAAGGTGTCAGCAGCGCTCAGATGGGTGACAAATAAAGCTGGGGGCCTCCTAGAGCCAACACCAGAAACTATCAAGTTGCTAGAGAGCAAACATCCTGACCCACAGCCTGAAGAGTCCTTCCTTGTAAGCAGTCTACTCAGCAAGGTGGGCCTGGAAAAAGTAGACAATGTTATATTCGAAAACATAGATATTGAAGCAATCCAGAAGGCAGCAAAGAACACCAATGGATCAGCTGGCCCCTCTGGCTTAGATTCTGATGGCTGGCAACGTATCCTTTGCTCTAAGTCATTCAAGACATGTGGTGCTGAACTATGTGAATCAGTTGCCTTACTAACCAGGAAACTTTGCACTGAATTAGTCGACCCTGATCCCCTAGCATCCTTCATATCTTGTCGCCTCATTCCTTTGGACAAGAAGCCCGGTGTTAGACCAATAGGGATCGGTGAAGTTCTCCGCCGAATAATCGGCAAGTCAGTTACTACTCTGCTTAAACCAGAGATCCTAGCAGCCACTGCACCGCTTCAAGCGTCAGCAGGCCTAGAAGGTGGAGTAGAAGCTGCTATTCATGCTCTTAGAACTATGTATGAAGATGATGACACTCACGGTATCCTTCTGGTTGATGCAGATAATGCCTTCAACCGTTTAAACCGGAGAGTTGCCCTCCACAACACAAGTGTGATGTGTCCCGAGCTGTATAAATATCTTGTTAATACCTACAGAAAAGCAGCAAAACTGTACATACCAAACTCCAAGGGATTGTTTATTTTATCCCAAGAGGGTACTACTCAGGGGGATAACTGTGCTTCTGCATTTTACTCCTGTAGCCTGATGCCCCTTATGGACAAACTCCCCACAGAGCCACCAGATATCTCTCCCGTGGTCTGTGAGAACACGAAACCTCCCCAGAAGCCTCCAGAGGAGAATAATAAGATTGAGACACCGCCAGATACAACTCCAGATAGGACTCCGGAGGTAAATAAGCCCTCCAACAAAGCTGCTAAACACATATGGTTTGCAGATGATTCTGGAGCAGCAGGAAGGCTTAAAGCCCTGAAGATTTGGTGGGATACCCTACAGGCATCTGGCCCCGTTTATGGCTATTTTCCCAAACCTTCCAAGACCTGGCTTATAGTTAAAGAGGAGTATCAAGAGGAAGCCAAGTCTCTCTTCCCCGACCTTAACATCACCACCGAAGGATGCCGTTACCTGGGTTCCTTTATTGGTACTGAGTCTGGAAAGAATAAGTTCATCCAAGCCAAATGTGCCGAATGGATAGAAGAGATCGAGGGATTGGCATCAATTGCACAGCATGAGCCACACCTTGCTTACGCCGCTTTTGTTT